AAAATTTTATTTTGAAATTTTCAAAAAAAAAAGATTTTTTGGAATTTTTTGAAAAAATAATTTGAAATTCTTTTTGGAATCTCTTTAATTGTCTTTTCAACATAATCCAAAGCTGATTAAAATGCATACAGTAGTTTTTGAGAAAAATGCGTTTTTCGATTTTTTCCTCTCCATAATTTCCAAAAAACTCAAAATTTTGAGTTAAAAATTTCAAAAAGTTATTTTTAAGTGGGTAGGAATGAATGGAAAAAATATATTCGGGTCACTTTTTCCATACTTATTTGGCTATACTCTATCACATGAAATTGCCCATATGTATATATGTGCATTACCGTACGTGGCAAATAGCATGACCATGGTTTTTGACATTTTACTCAAAAACCATATTTTTAAAAAATTTGGAAAAAATATATGTTAAAAGGGACATTATAAGGTACTTTTTACAACAAAAGAGAAAGTGGTCACTTCAAAAAATAACCCTAAAAATAATTTTTGAAAATTTCAAAAAGTTTTTTTGAAAATTTTTTTTGAAAAAAAAGTTTTAATTTTTTTTTCTAAAATCGTCTTATCTATATCTACAACCTCTTAAAATTTCATTAAAATCGGTTCAGTAGTTTTCGAGAAAAATAAGTTTTTTGATTTTACTTTCCCCCTCCATAACTCCCCCAAAAAAGCGAATTTTGAGTTCAAAATTGCAGAAAGTTATAGTCATATGGATAGTAATATATGGGCCAAATTTGAGAAAAATAGATGCGGGGGCAGTTTTTGCACACTTAACCCCCTAAGCCCTTTTAACAGAATTGAATTTTATGAGAAGAAATTTATTACTTTTAAAAATAACTGAATTTCTGCAATTATTTGTAATTTCTCCAAAATCCAATTTTTTTAGTGTTTTCAACAAAAATTTGAATTAAAAATTTTTAAATTCCATTATTTTTAAAGTTGCTAATTTTATTTTAAAAAGGAAGTAAGAAATTAGCCGCGCGAATAATTGTTGCTAGTAAATAATAAATGAAAAAGAAGACAAATTTCCCAAATAGATTTAAAAAAAATAAATCTATAAATTTATTTTTATAAAAATACTTGTTATAAAGAGGTTGATGTAAAAAATTATGAAATTAAATGCAAATATATATGAGAAGAAAGGAGAGAAAGAGAGAGTTGCCCGAATTTTTATGGATAGAAACCAAAGAAGTGTATACACTGTTTTTTAACGTTATCGGGTTTAAGAATTCTTCTATGAAAATGATCTCCCTGAACCAGAGAGAAACCAGCGGGTAATATAATCTTTGTTCCGTGCCAGGAAAGATCCAGTTTTTCGCACATTGACATTCAACAATGAGAACACCTACGCAACGTGTCGTGTCACTAAGATCACACAAGGTGTAAGACTTTTTCCACTCCAGTAACAAGGCAATTTAACACCAAGATTACGAAAATATTTTTATATTCAAAAAAAGTATCCGATATATTTTTAAAATTACCCAAATATAACTCACCAACTAATTAGCTGCAACGAATGTATAATTACATACAATAATTATAATAAATTTGGAAATAAAAGATAATAATCTATTAATCGTAATTAATAACTAATTTGTCCAACACTTACAATTAAGCAATTTTTGAGAATGTTTTCTTTTCGTTTTTAATTCGGTTATTCGCATTATTTTAATTGGAGAATGTAAGAAATTGTTTTTTAGAATTTAGTATTTGCTAATGTTAATTTAATAGCATGAATTTATTATTGTCAAATTCGATCGAACGAATTTCCAGTGTTTCGAAATTGATAAATAATGTTCATAAATAATAATTTATAATTTACTGGAATACTTTCAACTATATATAGACTGGGTGCCAGTTTCAGTTTCATAACTATTATTAAATGTAACTTTGCACAAGAGAACTTTTATTTGAAAAAACAATTTAACAGATTTTTTATTAGAAAAATAAAGTTAAGGAAATTTTTTACCAAACTAAATTTCTCTAATGTCTGATCCTGAATTTTCCTTAATTTTCATTTTATCCAATTATTGTCCTTTAACCAATCTTCATTAAATAACATTTCCATTCAACAAATTTCTATACTTAACTAAAATTCCATGCAATATTTTAACCAAATTCTCATTGAACCAAATTTTCATTAGGCTAATTTATAATTTAACTTAGTTTTTACTCAGAAAAATATTTATTAAACTTAAGTCTTATTAAACAACATTTTCAAACTACTTTTAATCTACTAGTTATCTGAAAAATAAAAATATTCTATAATAACAAAAGTTTATCACTGATTGGTGAAAATGTTGATGAATGTTGAAATTTATCAAACTTCCAAGTCAAAATTGTGGCTAATTTTCACAAAGAGGAGAATTATTTTCCGAAAACATATGACAAAAGAAATTATATAAAATAAAGTTCTATGCAAGAAAATAAAATTTATGTTTAATACTTATTGAAATTTTTCTGTATTTTATCAATAAAAATTGAGAATAAATAAGATTTCGATTAAATAAAATTTAGATTCTTTAAAATACGGAGCAAGTTATGTCCCTAAAGTTCTGAAATTTTAAGTTATCGAAAATATTTATTTCTTTTTCAAATTCAAATTTTATTATAATAATATTGCCTCACATTTTAAAGATACAATTTATAAACTCTGAGAGTGTTCAATTTTGCTTTTTGTTTTATATTGAAGTCAATAGTTTTTGACAATATTTATTTCGACAAAATTATTCCTTCATTTCAACGTTTAGAATTTTTTGAAAATAGAAAGTTTATAAAAACTGAAAAAATCTATTTTTGAAACTTTTTTTTCTAAGATATATAAAAGCTATAGATAATTTATAAAAATTATGTTTAAGAAAATTAAAAAACAGTTTATGATATTTTACTAAATTGTTCAAAAAGTGTAAATAAATAAAAATATACATAAAATTGAGTTCAAAATGATTTAATTTCAGATTGATTACGATTAAAATTTGAAATTTAAATTGTTTAAAATTTAAATAAATTCAAATTTAGATCAACTCGATTTGAGCTTAATTAAAAATTAGATAAATTAGAATTCCAAAGATTAAAAATTTTGACGACTTAAATTTAGAGTCAACTAATTGTAAGACTTTAATCGAAGAAAGTTTTAAAGAATAAAAATTAAGATTTATTAAAATATGAATTAATTAAAAATATTGTAAAAATTTTTAAAAATGGATCCGGGGTGTCTGCTATTATCGGTGAACAAAATTCCTGGTTATTTCCCGGCTTTGTCCTAATTTTACCCAGTTTTTTTTTCTCATCAAATTTTAATTTATTTATTTTCAAACATAAATAAATTTACAAATGGCTTCAAAAATTTTTATTAGAATTTTTATGAATAATTAAATTCTTTTGACAAGTTTCTTTAAATTTTTTGAAAATGTTCTTTTAAATAATTTTAATTAAAAATTAGGAATATAATTGAATAAAACAAAGAATTTTTTCAATTTTTTAAAATAATTTTTAAAATGTATTAATACTTATTGAATTTCTGCAAAGAATTTTACTATTTATAAAAGTAATTCAATCCTTCCAAAGATGATCCACAAGTTTTGAACGTTCAAATGAACGAAACAGTTTTTATTAGAAATGTTTTTATAATTTATTGTTTGCAATAAAAATTAAAAACTTAAATTTTACACTTAGAAACTTTATAATTCATTTATTTTATATCGACAAAAATTATTGTAATAAATATTCAAATTAAAGAAGAAAATAAATAAATTTCGTTCATTTGAACGTTCAGAACTTTAGAATCATTTCCAAAGAATGTTATTACATATTTAAGAAAATAATTAAATGTTTTCATAGAATTTTATTAAAATTTTTAAACATAATTAAATTGTGGAGAACAATTCTAAATATTTATAAAGATAATTGAAATTTTGAGGATAATTTAAAAAAATTTGAACATAATTCAATTTCTGCGAAGAATTATATTACTTTTGAAAATAATTGAATTGTTTTTTAGAATTTTATGGAAATTTATGAAAATAATTGAATTCTTATGAAGAATTTTTTTTAAAACTAAAAAGAATTTAGTAAATCTGAAGAATTTTGCTATTTATGGTAATAATTGAATTATTGAGAAGAATTTTTTTACAGTTAATAGTAATTAATGAATTCTTTTGACGAATTTTAATAAAATTTTTAAAAATAATTACATTTTTCGAGGAATTTGATTAAAATTATATTAAAAATAATTTAAATTCTGCAATGAGTTTTACTATTTATGAAAATAATTGAATGTGACTCTTTATAAAATTCAATTATTTATCAATTATTAAATTAAAATACTTCGAGAATTCGATTTGTTAAACAGTTTTTAATGAAATACAAAGCGATTTTTTAAAAACAAATTAAAATAATAAAACTTTTTTTAATTTGGTGAAAAAATTCCCGGTTTGCCATAAAATTCCTGACTTATTCCCGGCTATTTTCCGGTTAGTAGACACCCTAAGATGGAATAGGTGAAATTTAACGAAATAAGTGAAATAGGTGACAAAAGTAAAAAAGATGACTGTTTGTGATCCCTGTTTGATTATAACAAATATAACATTATATTTTTTTTGTTTTCAAATTAATAACAGTTGAACATGCGAAATGAGATTTAAATTTAGATATTTATAAATGCAAATTAAGTTAAATTATAAATTAGTGAATGAAAAATGCTATATCAAATGACAATTTCGTTCAGATAAAATTTGGGACAAACAAAAATTCGCAAATATATAAATACTGTCAGAGGGAATTTTTTTTAAAAATTCCAATCAAAATGCTAATATAAACTTCCTTCTAATAAATATTCGAATAAAAATTCTCTCGTTCGATAATTTCCTTCAAAATATAAATTCAATGAAAAAGAATCCTATCAAAATAGAAATAGCAAATTATAAAGTGCGAAACACTGAGAACGCGCACGATAAAATCTATTGATCATGATTAACAAATACAATGACTAATTTCAGCCCGCCGCTATCGAGGATTTGCGAAGATGGACATCAGCCGAAGCCCTTGGGGATGTTACTGTCCCGCCAGATTGCATGTCCAGGATCTTGGGAGATACGGCCGATGACAGTGCAGTCGATCACAAGCTTCCTAGTCCGGAGGAACAGGTTCAGGCAATAGCACTCAAGTGAGTATATAGAATGGTTGACATTACCATATATGCGGGAGCCGTCGAATGCATGCAACCACCAACTGGCCACTTCAACTTGAATAAAACCTCAACAACTATAATACAACACTCAAAGAAAGTCAATATCTGCCGTTGCGTTGCCTCAAGTTTCTTTAGCTCCAGTGCTTTATACATTTGCAGAGTTATAAGAGGAATAAAAAAATAAACAACATTTTTCCCTCTTGAAACTCATGACTCTTCGAGAATGAAATATTGTCATTCTATTTAAAGATAACAAAAATCGTTTCTTTGAATGAAATTCCTACATGACTTTTACTTTCGATTTCGCATCGACTCTTGTATTCTTTATTCTTTTGCGCTTGCAATTCCTCACTTTTTTCTTTTTTAAATTTCATTCTCCTTTTTCTGCCTTCATTACTAGACGGAATATGTCCCTGAAGTTTTCGCAATATTTTTTTTTGGGTTTGTAAAAACGACGAGGCAATTACAATGAAGAATGAAATAATTTTCATGTGTATACAAATATAAATAGATATCAAGTTTTCAAATGTAAAATGAAATATTTTTTGTAAGTTACTCACCTTTTTGCAGATTCCCAGCAGAAATAGTGGCTGTCGACGTGAGTGGCAGAGGATTCGATCGAATGTCAATGCGAAGACGATCCCTGTTATCTGGACCTGAAACACAAGAGACGGCCGTGAAAAGAAGGTCGCGTCCAAGGAGGCCTAGAGGCAAGAGACGAAATACGATCGCTGGTACCGATCAGAAAGAAATTCGTCAGGCTATCGATGGGTCAGTCAAATTTTTATTACTTAAAAATAACCATTTTACCAATATCGATAAATATTTTTCAAATTTTATTAATCTGGTTGAAAATTAACCTTTACAAGGAAAAATTGTCTTTCCCTTCAATTACAATTTTTACTTCCAAAAAATTAAATTCAAATTAAAAATTACCTATAATAATATCCAGAGATTCTTTCATTCATTCTTTTTATCTACACTTGAAGTTAGTCTTTTGTGTATACTTTTGTTTTTTTTTTTTGTTAAGTTTTGATAGACTGAATGATTATATTATTTTTTAACAAATTAAAAGTTTTTATTATTAATTGATTTAAAAGGTTTATTAATTTTAAAGGAATTATTGTTCTTACTCATTATTTTACTTTTTTGCTTCAACTCGTCGTTTTGAAAGTAGTTACAAATTATAATCATTTCTATAATAAAGAAAACTTGGAAAATTGTTAAGAAATTTCAATGAGAAATTAAAATTATGCAAATTTTTTCCTTTAAAAAAAAATTTGAACTTTAACAGAAATTATAATTGACAAATTAAAATTATGCAAATTTTTTTCTTGACATCTAATTAATTAAAATTAGAAAATTGTTATACTTATGATTAAGAAATGGAAAATTAAATATAATAATCGTCTTATTCATTCTTTCATTCTGTCCACACCTGAAGTTAGGTTTTGTGTATTCTTTTGTTTTTTTTTTCTTTAAAAAAATTTGTTTTGACAAATTGAAAATATGAAGGAATTTTTTTATAATTCATAATAAAATAATATTAGAAATTAGAAAGTTTACAAAAAAAATGGTGATTAACAAATGAAAAATTTACCCATTTTGTTTACTATATGCTTTTTTTATAACAAATTTCGTTTGTCTGATCTTAATTATGCAAATTTTTCTCTTGTTTATTCCCAAAAAAAAGAAAATTTATTAAAAAATTATGATTAAGAAATAGTAAATAAATACCCATTTTATGCATAATTTTGATTTCTCAATAACAATATTGTTCACAAACTCATTCTTTTATTTTGGGAAAAAACATTACATATTCCCGTTTCTTATAATATTTTTGTAGAAAATTTTCAATTTTTATAAGGGAATAATTTACATTATTTCAATTTTTTAATTACAATTGTTTTAATAAAATTCAAAGTTTTTTTAAAAATAAACGAAACAAATGTTTATAAATTCTATTTGTCAATTACAAATTTTCATTGAAAATGAAAATTTTTGAATTTTTAGAAAATAAAGGAAAAAATTTTACTCAAAAAAAATGTTTCGTTACATTTTTACGAATTTCTTTAATTGTAAAATTATTCGAAAACATCAATAATTTCTTTTTTAAATAAATATTTAATTATTATTGTTTTTCCACAGGAATTAAGACATTCAAAAATTCCAAATTCAAACCTTTTTGAAATTAAACAACTTACAAAAGTATTTTGCTATAAAACATGAAGATATTGATTGCTCCGAGTCGAAGACTCGGAGTGATCGATTTCTTCATGTTTTATAATAATTTATAATTATTAAAAATTTATGAAAATAATTGAATTATTGCGAAGAAATTTATAAAAAATTGTAAATAATTGAATTCCTGTGGAATTTTAAATATTTTTAACAATAATTAAATGTTTGTGTACGATTTTATTAAATTTTTTTTTATAATTGAATTTTTCTCGGAAAATGTTATTAAAATAGTAGATATTGAAAATAATTGAAATCAGGTTAGGGGAACATTTTGTTATTTACAAAGATAATTGGGATTTTAACGAGAATTTTTTCTTAATTTTAAACATAATTGAATTTTATGAGAAGAATTTTATTACTTTTGAAAATAATTTAATTTCTGCAATAAATTATTTGCAATTTTTCCAAAATTAAATTATTTTAGTATTTTCATCAAAAATTTGAATTTAAAATTTTTAAATTCTATTATTTTTAAAATTGATAATTTTATTAAAAAAATAAAGAAAAAAGTTAGCCGCGCGCTTTAGCGCGCGAATTGTTGGTATAATTTCTATTTTTTAATAGAACTTTTTGTTTGAAAAAAAAAGAAACAAATTACCATAATTTCTATCTTACAATCACAATGTTTGTAAAAATTTTCTTGTAACAAAAATGCAAGTTTTTTAAATGTTTTTATATAAAAAACTTATTTCTTTGACAACATTTTCAGCTTTTTTTCCTTTCTTCTAAAAAAAAAATTAGAAAACTGTCAAAAAATTCAGATTAGTGAAAAGAAAATATTTTGCACTAAATCATGAGTTTCATTTTGAAAATTAGAAGAAAATATTTTGCAAAATTCCTATTTCTATTGACAATTTATTAACAAAATTCTGTTTTTATTAGAAAAAAGGAAATAATTTGCACCAATTCTGTTTCTCAATAATTACAATTTTTAAACAAAATTCCAAATTTTAATTAGAATTAAAGAAAAAAATTTCTATAAATTACATTTTGTTTAGAAAATTTTACGTTTCTGTTGAAACAAAAAGATTTTTTCTATTTGTTAATTACGACGTTTAACGAAATTATTTAAAAAATTATTTTAAAAATTTACGTAATTTCTATTTTATAATCACAATTTTTAGATAAAATTTTGTGTTCTTTTAAATATTAGAAATATTTCATATGCATATTTATACATATACACCCGTTTTTATTAAGTTCTTGTAAAAAAAATAATCATTTAGAATAAATTAAAAAAATAATGAGCCTTTTTCTATGTTTTTAGGGTTCCGTACACCTACGGTGTATCGGCGGAACCCTTTTGGTGAGACTCTTGTGTCCGTAGCCAAATCGTGTCCCCCCCCCCTAGCGGCTAAACTATTTGACCTAAAGAGCTCAAATTTGGTCCAGATATGTATTTTCACTCGTAGATTACAGGAAAAATATAGCGAATGTGATTGGACGTGATGGGCATAGCGTTGTCAAGGAAATAACAAGATTTTTGGCCAAAAATGCATAAAAAGTGACCATTCCCCCCCCCCTTAACTTCTAAACTATTCGACATGGAGAGCTGAAATTTTGCATGCTGGTGTATTTTCACTCGAATATTACAGGAAAAATATAGAGAACTTGATATGTAATAATGTTCATAGCGTTGTCAAGGAAAAACTAAAAAATTTTTGAAAAACATTTTTTTTTTAACTTTTACATTATTTGACCTAATTAGCTGAAAATTGGTATACTAATGTATTATTACAGTCTGACGACAAAAAATTTATTTAAGAAACTTTTAAAAAAAAAATTTTTTTAATTTTTTTTCAGTTATAACACGTGGCATTAAATATTTTAAGGACGAGCGAAATTTCAAGAGAATAAATGAGAGATTGTTTTCTCCCTTTAATTTCTTAACTAAAAATAAAAAAAAAATTGGACAAGTGCGAGTTGTACTCGCACTGCAATGGCGGGTTCCGTACACAAATATATTAAAACAATACTTGAAACATTTATCGGTTTAATATTTTCAACAAGAGTGACAAAAATACCAAATTATTTTCGTGTGAAAACACACTTTATGATTTATAAATCAAAACGTCAAAAAGCCGCAATAACTAGACTTGAAAAAGCTCAAATATACCATTTAAGATTCCGCGCAAGCAACGATTTACTGTTCTCGATTTTACGTTCCTCTGGTAATCCTGCACCAGTCTATATAGCAAACTTCGCGGTACAGCTTAGCATAAAGGAATCAAACAATCCGTCATGCTCGATAAAATTCTCCCGGATTATCGAACCATGAAGAATTTTACCAACCATACATTCAATGAAAACTGAGATTTCAATCCTTTTAGTCCTCTTCAATAAAAAAAACTAAAAAATCCTAATTTTAAAATTCTATTGAATCCAGCAAACAAATAAATTAATTATTCAATTTTTATGATGATCGAATATTACAGTGAGACGACGGTAGACGAACCTGAGGAAAAAGTTGGACCATCGTCAAGAACACAACGATCGGCGAGCACCGACATTTTGGGATCATCGAAGAAGGACTCGCCAACTGAGAAGAAATCTCATTTCAATACATTGAAGGCATGGGGAATGTCAAGACTGAAACTAATCAGCCCAAGGAGTAGTCAGAGTGTGCAACAACTCGAACAGCCGGAAGCCGATGCTGGCTCATCGAGCACCGACAGAACGATCGAAGTCGAACCAGTAACACCGGAAGAGACTAATATCTACGAAACCGTGACGACACGACGAAGAAAGGACAAGTCACACGAAAGAAAGCCAAGTTCCTCGAGCTCCAGTGGCAAAAGTACATCCAGTATTCCTGTTTCTGTTCCTTCTTCCGACAAACAGCCAAGCGTTAAGTTGAGAGAAAGTGCCGCACAAAGGAGAGAAAGAAGAAAAGGAAGCGGTAGGGACGACGCTCCTCATTCCAGTTCCGGAAACTGGAGCGCTTCCTCGGAAAGTGGACGAGCCAGTATAGGAAGCGAGACGACTACAACGACGCACCAACCCAGGTAATAATAGTCCTAATTCCTAAAATCACTATTGTAGGAATTAATTCCTGAAAAAATTTATTTTTTACTCAAAAATCAAATTCTTAAACTCACCGGTATAAATTTCAGATCGACGACAACTGCTTCCATTGGCACGTCATCAACGTCCTTGTGTCACATCAGGAGATTCAAGGGAAGAGATACGTCAGCCTCCTCCTCGGTCACTTCCGAGGGGACCTTAACTCCGGACATCATTCAAGACATCACGGTCGTTCCCTTCTCAGACGATGGTGAAACTTCTTCAGTCTATTCTTGTGACACTGAAGGTTACTACACATCCTTCCACATGGACTCTGGACTGAAGACACTGAGGGAAGAGGAAGTTCTCCCACAGAGTCCTCTCGTCAGGTCCGTCGATCTTGGATCAGACCCAACTTCCCCGGTTGTTGAAAATGAGTACGAATTATTCGGCAGGGGATCGACCTCGACGACTACAAGTTCAGCAGGCACTGTCTGCACGGCTCTCTTGGCTCCTCCACCTCCTGAAAGAAAATCCAGTTTAACTGTTGTTGCAATGGTACGATCTTTAATTTCTCTAAATTAAACATCAAGATAATGAAACTCTGGTAAAACTTTCAGTTCTATATAAATTTTACTTCAGTAAAGACGTTTAATTCCAAACGATTTTCTCAATTAGTGTAACTCAAGGTTCGAACCAGATAGAGTATTTAAAAATACGGACTTTACGGACCAAAAATGAAAAATTACGGACCAATTACTGACAAAAATATAACCAGTCGGAGTCAAATAAGAGAACATTTTATTTAAAACTATAAATTAAATTTTTCATAACTATAAAACATGAAAATATCGATAACTTATAACTTACTAACTGATCGATTTCTTCATGTCTTATAATACTTAAAGATGACTGAATGATAAAATCATTATCAATTCAATTATTATTTTCAAGAATTTTTAACTAAAATTCTTCTTTAAATCGATTATTTTTAATAATTTTTGAAACAGTTCTTTGACAATTTTCAAATCCATTTGTTTACAATATTCAATTTTACGAAATTTAAATTATTCGTAAATTCTTCAATTAAATAAATATTAAAAAATAAAAACTTAAAATAATATTAAAAAAATTTAATTAAACTTTTTCAAAAAAATTAATTTCAAAATTCAACTTTTTTTAAAAATTCACGCTATATTGCTTTTAATATTCAATTATAATTTAAAATTTAAACTGAAATTAATTTTTAAATCAATTTTTATTAGAAAATTCTACTAGAATTCAATTATTTAAAAATACAAAAAATAAATAATTTACTGAATAATTGAATGTTTCTTAAAATTCAATTCCCCTAGAGAATCGTTATCAACTAATTTTCAAATAATTGAATTCTCTCCACGAATTTTAATAGGATTTTTAAGATTAATTACATTTTTCGAGAAATTCGATTAAAATTGTATTAAAAATAATTGAAATTCTACGATGAGTTTTATTATTTGTGAAAATAATTGAATCTCTAAGAAGAATTTTATTACTATTGAACAATATTTAATTTTTGCGAAGAATATTTTACAAAATTGAATTTTTTTTTCGAGTTTTTAACTATCTCTCTAAAACTGAATCAGTGAAATTACACTGAAAATCAGTGAAATTTGACTGAGAATCAGTGACTCTATTCTCGCGATTTGAATCAGTGGAATTTCATTGAAAATCAGTTAAAAATAACTGAAATTTCAGTCATTTTCCACTGATTCGCCAATTAAAAAACTACTAAAAATTTCTGTCACATATATTGAAAATTTCAGTTATTTTTTAATTGACCAATCAGTGCAAAATGACTGAAATTTCAATCATTTTTAACTGATCTTAAGTGAAATTTCACTGATTCAAATCGCGAGAATAGAGTCACTGATTCTCAGTCAAATTTCACTGATTCAGTTTTAGAGAGTAAACATCTTCTATAAATCCATTATTTTGAATAATTTTTGAAAAAGTTTTTTAAGAATTTTCAAATTCATTTGTTTACAATTCAATTTTAAAAAATTTCAATTATTCGTAAATTCTTCAATTAAATATATATTAAAAAATAAAAACTTTAAATAATTTAAAAAAAAATCCGCAATTAAATTTTCTCAAAAAAAATTAATTCTACAGAATTATTAGTTACAAATATGAAAAATTCAAATTTTTGGAAGATTTTAATCTAAAACCTTTTCAAAATTCAATCATTTCTAAAAATTTACACTCAAAATATTTTTAAAATTCAATTATAATCTAAAATTTTAACTGACATCCATTTTTAAATCAATGTTTATGAGAAAATTCTACTAGAATTCAATTATTTAAATACAAAAATAACAATTTATTGAATAATTGCATGTTTCTTAAAATTTAATTTTCATAAAGAATTTTATCTATAAATTTTTAAATACACTGAGAAAACGATTTATTTGATTCAAATATATTTTGTTTAAATCAAATTTAAAATATCTTTGCTCTACAGTCAAACATATTTAAGTTTAATTCAAACATATTGTTTGGTTCATTTATAGAAATAATATATTTAATTCAAACATAAGTTGTGGTTGATTTTAAATTATTTATAATCAACTTTTAAGTTTGAATCAAACATAAAATTTTTAAACATATTTTTTGTTAAAATCAAAACAGAAAATATGTTTGAATTAAATATAATTATTCAAACAAATAATATTTTTGAATAATCAAAGCAGTAGATATTTTCTATATATTGAAATTAAGCTTACAGACTAATTTCAATTAAATAAAATCACTTAAATTAATTTTATTATTTATAAAAATAATTGAATGATTGCGAAGAAGTTTATAAAAAAATTTGTAAAAAATGAAATTCCTGTGAAATTTTTTGAAAATAATTAAAAGTTTGTGTAGAATTTTATTAAATTTTTTTTTTTAAATAATTGAATTCTTTTGGAAAATTTTATGAAAATAGTAGATATTGAAAATCATTGAATTGAGGAAATTTTTTGAAAATAATTGAAATTTCGACAAAAATTTTATTAAAATTTTTGAAAATAATTGTACCTTCTTGGTACAATTACTTGATACTTGTAACCTTCTTAAAGGTAATTGAAATTTTGTCAAAAATTTAAAAAAATTTTTGAACAAAGTTGAATTTCTGCGAAGAGTTTTATTACTTTTGAAAATAATTGAATTTCTTCAATCATATGTAATTTCTCTAAAATTCTCCAAATTATACTTTTCATCCTTTTTTAATGAAATTACGGACTTTACGGATTCTTAAAAAAAACGGACTTTTACGGGATTTACGGACCTAGTTCGAGCCCTGTGTAATTGCGTTTATTTCTGAAGTTATCAAGACCTTCAGTTATTTCTAAAATCTTCAGATCAGATTTACAATCAAGTTTACAATTTACAGGTTCACGGTCAAAACAAACCAGGTGGTGAATCGCCGGACAGTGGGCACAACACCTCCTCATCGCCAGTGGAATCCGCATCGAGTCCAGCCTGCACAGGCAGATCATGCTCCGAATTCGAATACTCCGAGTCTAGTGATCTGGAGGGTTGCGATCGAATCGAGAGGATCCGTTCAAAGACCGCGATCAACACGAGTCGAATACCATCGATGTGCGTCATCACTCCACCAGGATCGGACGATGAGCACGCGAAAGAACGTGACAAAACTAAACAAGACAGCAAGGAAAGTGCTGGTTCAGTATTAATGTCAGCGACAGTTGGAACATCAAAAATGGAAGTTATCAACGGTCAGGATAAGAATCTTTACGCAACAGTGCAAACAATTTTACCATCGTCTGAGGAAAAGACATCATCGAGTTCGACAAAAGTCAGTCCACTGAGTGGAGTGCTGGGAAAACTTCGCGGTGTTCTTCAGGCAGGAAAGAAGCATCAACAAAAAACAACTATTCAGGAATTGATTAATCCAGACTCTGGCGACTATGTTACCATAGCCGACGTGAGGAACAATAATGATAAGCATCAAGATTCTACTCTCACTATTCGTTCACCAGTGACCTACGCGAATGCGGATCTCTTCAAAAAAGACGCCGAGTACGTGAGTCTCAGCGAATTGCCAAAGAAACCAGATTCTTCCTTGGAGAGAAAGCGACAGGGCGCTAGAGTGACATTAGATTCGGAAGGAAAGGTCGTCTACTCTTCGGACAGTTTGAGACGAAGGAAGGGCGCACACACTACTTTTAATCCAGGTAATATTCAAATTCCAACTGTCTGTCAATTATAGAAATCTAATTCACATCTTGTTCGATTAGGTAATAAAAAACCCACAAATTTAAGCGAAACGTTTCTTGCTCACTGTTAAAATTCTGGCTAAAGTTATCATACCTTCCAAAAATCTGATGATGGTTGTTCTTTTTTGCTAAAGAAGTACTTTTATGGTTGCCACGAACTATGACTATGACTATGACTATTCTGATTTCCAGACAAAATTTTGACCTTTTCCCTGACCATAAAAAATATTCTGCTTCACTTTAAAAATTATTTATTTATTTTTTTCTCCTTTGTACACTTAATATAAGTTTTACAATATTTGTCCCTCCAACTTAAAGTAACATATAAGTTATAAGTTATAAGTTATAAATGTTTTAAATGTTTAACAATATTATTAATAAATTAAATTAAGATTAAGAATAAGCTACATAAAAAATAGAACGAATACAAGTATATTTTAGACTTCTTGAAGTCTAGCATTTCTCGCGATTTTTTCAAAACATTTCGCATATTGGCAGAGTTCGGTCTTCGGTCTGCTTTTTAGAGTCTTGATTACATGATTTTCAAGATTTACTCCAGTTAAAACCCCTCTCCATTTATTTACTTCTTCAACTAACGATTCGTTAATTTTTTGTAAAGCCTCACCACAAACCCAAATATGGAATATAGTTTCATCAGACTTTTTACATAGTCTGCATAAGGTACACTTATATCCCTTATTACCTGCTATTCCTACATTCCCACATCTTAATCGTGCCCACTGTTCTTTTTCGGTTGCTTTTAATTGCTTAGACTCCCAATACTCTTCCTTTCCTACAAAACTTTTCCAATTTCTGTAATTCTCACAGTATTTAGACATGTCGATTTTATTCCAATCTTGTTGAATAAGCTGTTCTGATCTGATTTTAACTCCTACTGATAGATTTTCGCTGACTTTCTCGCTAAAATTTCCTGCTATAATTCCTTCCCAGATTAAATTAATAGTTTCTCCATCTCCAACTAATTTTAGTGCTTTTTGTAGTTCCATTCCCCACGCTGACGGTTTTTCATTTATCAATCCCCTTATTTCTTCTTTCAAACAAATCTTTGGCCACCTTTCATCCCCCATATTTAAAATTTCAGTCAAATATCTTGCGGCCCTTATTCTTCCTTCTATCTCGAAATCCTGTTTCCCCGATTCCATCCTCCAAATATAACCCGGAGTCGTGCAGTCGAGTCCCATTGCCATTTTAACCAACCTCCCTTGCATTTTCTCCATTTCTTCTCTCCTTAGCCAACCCCAGACTTCAATTCCGTAAATTCCTGCCATTTTACCTAAAGTATCCATTATATATAATTTTTTTTTCAAATCGTTCAAGCCTGCTCTCTTCATTACTCCCCAAGCAACATTTATTGCCTTTTGAGCTTTCCCAGACATTTTTAACACTTGTGTTTTGTAATTTCCTCTAGACGTGAACCAAAATCCCAAATATTTAAAATTATTTACAATTTCTATATTCTGGCCTTCTATTTCCCAGTGTTCGCTTTTCTTTCTTCTCCCTCCTTTTTTGAAAACTACAACTTTAGTTTTATTTACGTTTATTTCTAATTTATTTTTCTTTACATAGCTCTCCAGAGTTTTAATCATTTCTGATAATCCCTCGGCAGTATCAGACACTAGAGATAAGTCATCCGCGAATTTAAGACAAAAGATTTTAGTTTTCCCAATTACCGTCCCTCCTATGTTTTTGTTTTCCCATACTTGTTCCATATCATCTGTAAAAATATTGAAGAGAGTTGGACTGAGAGGGCAACCCTGTCTGACACCTCTTACTGTGCTAAAGCTGTCTGTTATACCCTCTAATGTTATTACTTCGTTTACTGTTCTAGAGTATATTTCTTCAATCATTCGTAGCATTCTTCCTTTAACTCCGATTTTTTCTAACTTTTGTAGTAGTAACTCTCTATCTACTGTATCGAAGGCTTTATGAAAATCTACGAAAACCGTGTATAATTTACCTTTTTCCTTTTTAATTTTGTTATTTATTAAGGAGTTTAGAACGAAAATATGGTCCCTTGTAGATCGTTTCCTCCGGAATCCAGCCTGACTCTCCTTTAGGATCTTTTTCTTTTCTAACCATGATCCTAGTCTTTCTTCCATAATGGATGCCAATATTTTGTAACCTACATCTAGTAGGGAAATTCCTCGATAGTTGCCTGTATTTTCTTCGTCCCCTCCTTTAAATATTGTGAAAATTCGAGCCTTTTCCCATCCGTTTCCCATTTTCCCTTCTGTCCAGAACCCATTTATAATTTTGTGCATTTCTATCGCCCATGACAAAGGTAAATATTTTATAAACTCTATCGAAAGCCCGTCTTCTCCCGCTGCTTTTCCTCTTTTCATTTTTATAATGATTTTTCCTAGCTCTTCAAAAGTTATATCGCTGTTTAATTCTTCGTTTTCTACATTTTCTTCTGAATCATCTCTTCTCTTATTTCTGACCTGTTCTGTTTCTTTTTCAACTCCTAACAGTTTTTCAAAGTGCTCTTTCCATCTTTTTTTACTAATCTTCCCTCCCTTCATACCACCCTTTTTTCTAACTCTAACCGTGTTAATAGATTTCCAGAACTCTCCCATGTTTTTACTTTTTTTAATTTCTTCCCATTTTCTTTCCCTTTCCTCTCTTCTCTTAATTGCGTACATTCGTTTCAAGTTTCTTCGTTCATTTATCCACTCTTCCCTCTCTAATTCTCCTTTCTTTTTAACAAAAGTTTTTAATTTTTTTCTTACTAGTCTCTTCTGGTTTGTTATTGTTTCGTCATTCTCATTTTCGTAAATTCCTTTTTCTTTTTTAATATTGTTTCCTACTCTCCCTTTTTTAATCATGCCTACCTTCTCTGCTGCTAACTTTATACATTTCTTGAAAATTTCCCATCTCTCCTGACATGTTCCCTCCTCTGTTTTCTCTAAGTTCTTCCATAAACATTCTAATTCTTCTTTATATTTTTCAGCTTTCCCGTCATCCCATATTAATCTTTCTATATAAATCCCCCTTTCTTTATTTCTTTCCCTATTTTGTTCAATTCTGTCTTGTAGCACTGCAGTCATTTTAAAAGTTAGTGGAAAATGGTCAGATTCAACTCTAGTTAAAATATTTATTTCTTTTATCTGTTCGTCCCCGTCAGATTCTATTATAAAATCTATTACCGAACCCCCACCCTCCCCAACATGCGTCCATTTACCATCCTCATCTCCTTTCGTCCTTCCATTCAAGATTCTTAGTCCCATTTCATCACAAAATTTTAATAACTTTCTTCCTTCATAATTAACTAGCTTGTCTTCTGACTTTCTTTCGTTACAATAATTTGAAGATTCATTCACACTACGTTCTACAGCACCCAATTCTTCACCCACTCTAGCATTCCAATCTCCTAAGATTATTATTCCCTCCCCCTTTTTTCTTAAATCATGAACAATAGTTTCTAGAACTTTACAAACGTTTTTTGTACCATCATTATTATACACCGTTATAATGTTCGTCGCTTTTTCTTTATAACCTATACATCTATCTCTTATCAAAAGTCCATATTTCCATTCATCTATTTTGACTTTATCGCTTACACTTTTACGTACACCCACTAATTGTCCCCCACTTGCTCGTCCTTTCTTTTTATACCTTACCGCACTTTTTGATTTCCAGATGTAGTCGTTGTCCAGATTCCTAATGAAGTCCTCTTCTTTTTCCTCTTCTACCCACGTCTCAAGGATAATTATAATATCGAACTCCTTCAAAAAATCCCAGCATCCTCTAATTTTTTTTCCACCTGCTAAGTTCCATAAGACTCCATTAATAAGTGCCTCTTCGTCCACGAAAAAACTTCTTCCCCTGCCGTGTATTAATGACACTTTCTTTTACTCGTCCTTCCTCTTCATTCCACAAAAATTCCATATTATTTATTTGCCATCCCATGTAGAAAATTCTTACATATGATCCTCTTCTGCTTGCTTCTTCTGCAACTTCATTAATTCTCCTTTGAACTTCTTGTTCCCTGCATGTTAAGTCATCTTCAATTAAAATTTTTGTCGCTCTTAGTTTGAATTTATTTTCCATAAGTCTCCTTTTTGTTGCCCACGAATCGAGATGAATGAGTGTACCACCAGCCACGTGTTTTAAATCTTTTATTTGGATGTGCACTCCTGTAAAATCAAACAACACTTTTCTAATTTCCTCACCTAATGTTTTTCCTCTCGATCTGAAGCCACGCACAAGAATCCAGTTTTTCCTTATCTTTCTTTCCATCAATTCTCGTTCGAGCTCTCCTCCCTTAAGAATTGGTAAATTTAACACTTTTCCATTACTGATCCTTTGATCGTTAATTTCCTTGTCAGAATTTGAGTTTGCACAATTATAATCTCCCTTATCCGATGTATCGAGTTCCCCAGTTGGAGTGATCGAGTTTACCATTGTTTTTTGTGTCATATATAGATCTTCTTTGTCCCCTCTTGACACTTTTTCCTTAAAAAGATTAAATTGAGATGTTACCTGTTCTAAATTGTTTTTTAATTTTTCCAGTTGAAACTGATAGTCTCTTTCCCGGTTTCTAGCTCTTTGAAGAGCTATATCGGCTGCTTCCTCTCTATCCTTCTCATCTTGTCTTCTTTCTAGTTCTTCCTTAATTTCTTGAATTTGGTTTTTGATGTTTTCAATATCTCTCTTGCCGTTCTTTGCCCACCATTCATCCAAAACTTCTGAAAACATTTCTCTCCATCCATCTTTTGATTGATCGGAATTATTTTTTAAATTGTTGTTACTGTCATTGTCGTTGTTTGTTCTGTTTGTTTGGATTGAGTTAGCCTTAATGTCGCTCTTCTTCGATAGCAAGTCCTTTTTTTGTTGTTCCCGCTGCGTTAAACTTCTCAGTGTCAGAGAATTGTCTGTTTTTTTTTCTCTTGAAAGAAACTGTCGCATTCTAACCCCACTTTTAATATCTTGATTTGTTTCTCTACTATTTTTGGTAGGCCTTCCTGGTCTGTTTTTAGTTAAGGTTTCTTTTTTGTCCTTACTTTCTTTAAGTCCACCAATTTTAATACTCGTTTTGGAATTATCTTTAATATTTTTCTTAACTTTTTCTTGATTCTGTTTTGTTTTAAGTGAACCTCGACGATCGGTAAAATCGAGTTCTTTTTGTGTAGAAGTGCCCTCTGTCGTCAATTGAGAAAGGTGTTCCGATGATTGAGACAGCGCACCGGAAGATGTGTCATCCTGTTCCCATTGCGACAACCTAACCTCTTTGGTCTCCATTCCTCCTCAATTTTCGGAGAAAAAAAGTACAATCCCTTCGTTAAAACCACCACAAACACTTTCACATCACTAAAACGACCCACTCTTTGAGATGCAACTAATCTCCAGTTCGCACGAATAAAATAACCACCAATTTATATAAAATTACTCGGACGACAACAAACACACGACCACTCCGCTCACTAAACCCCACTTTAACCCGTCAGCACTCGCGCTAATTTAACAACTTTCTTTACTCGCGTGTTGAGAGATTTTCTCACTGTTATGCGCATGCGTCTAGTAACTTTTTTGGCGGCTATATTCAAATTACCTTTCTTTACTATAAACATATTATTCTTATTTGCAAAAGTATAAAATTACTTATTACCATTTATTACATTAATTAATAACGATTTAAGTATTTATTATTAATGATTTATATAATATATTACTATTATTAATCATTTTATTTATAAAATTAAACAGTTGTAATTTAATTAGAATAATTTTACAATTATTAATTTATATTTATACATGGTTTATGTATTATTTTAAAAAATATTAAAGAATTTGTATGAAACATTAATTAATGCAAATTTAAGAAGATTCAGAATTTATTAAATAGTATTTTACATCGTTTTTACGAAATTGTAAACATTTACATTTTAAACAAATATAAATTTTTAAAGCAAAAGAATAGATTTAAAATCTTATTATTCGTATTACTCTATTAAATCAAACATTATAACAATCATCACAGTACAGCAAAGTGTGTGATGGGCATATAAATTGAGAGCAAGTAACACATCGTTTTTTTGTTTTCTTGTTCAGTTTTCGAGGACAAAATTCACAAAATCCTTGGGATGTCTTGACTGCTTCTTCAATTCTAATGTTTCCTATTCGTTTAATTAGTGATCGTAATTCAAGATTTAATGAAGGCTCCATTACTCGGACTTTTAAAAAAGGAATAACAAGATCTTTTGCTAACTGGCTCAAGAAAGAGCGACGAGTTATTTTGTTTTCAGTGTTTTCTCGATAAATTATTTGGGAATTTATTCCACCAATATTTAATAAGGCATAAAATATTACCATAGGCCAGCGACGAGTTTCTCGACTTACACTGTAGGTACCTTTTAATTCATCGACAACGTCTACAGCTCCTTTCGTTAAATTATAAAAGGTAATTATCTCAGGTTTTTTTCTTTGTCCACTATCCTTATCGATATCACCAGAATTGTGCAGGGAAGACAACATCAGCACATTTTTGTTTTTTTTTGAAACATATGAAACTAAAGTACATTTTTCAGTAAAACCAAACATACTAGAGTTCACAGCCTTTCCTTTGGTCTGAAGAAATTGAGGAGGTATTTCTCTTTTATTCTTGCGCAAAGTTGTTACAACAGTTGTTCTGTGGTGATCTAATAAATCAACAGCCAATGGTATAGATGCAAAATAGTTATCCATCGTAATGTTTCTACCTGTGCCTAAAATTGGAGCGGAAATACGTTTAACAACTTGATCTACGGAATTAGAAATATTAAAAGGTCCATTCGGTTGTTTTCCTCCGTAAATTTCAATATTGGAGGTGTAAAATAAACGAGAATCCACCAAAGCCCACATTTTTAGACCATATTTTGCTGGTTTCTTTGGCATATATTGACGGAAACTGCACCTCCCTCGAAAACTTTCCAGCATTTCATCAATTGTTAAATATTGACCAGGTGTATAGCATTCTTTACATTTATCGTTAAACATATCAAAGATCTCTCGTATTGCCGCTAATTTATCCAATTTCGTTCTTTCATCTCGAGTATGAATATTGTCAAAACGCAATGCATTAATCAAAACATAAAACCGCTGAAGATTCATTGAAGCTCGAAAAAAATCCGGTGCTGTTCCGTCTGAAGCCCAAAATTCTTTTAAATTCACATGATTGCCTTTTTTTACACCAATCATATACAACAAACCAAGAACGGCTCTAATTTCAATTTCAGAAGTCGGACGAACATCTTTTGCGTTTTTATAATTTCTTCGAAGCTTATCAAGTTGAATATTTGTGAAATTAACTATTTTTTCAATCATATTTTTAGTAAAAAATAATTCCCAACACTCGAGAATACTTTGAGCATTTTTGGCAGCAGTTTTAACTCCTGGCAACCTGATGACAATATTATGCTTTCTGGTTTTTACTTTTTTATTTTCAGGAGAAGAAAACCATTTTGTCGTTTTATCTTTGCCTATGAAAAACTTTTCACTAGTATCATTGCAGCTAATGTCCTCACTCTCGGAACCTGATTGTTCAGTGGAACTGTCATTCGAAACTTGTTCGATATTATCGTCGCTTTCTCCAGAAAGCTCGAAATCTTCCTGGTCAGATACATTTTCTTTTGAATACCAATCGAAATCTTTTTCCTTGTTTCTACTCATGATTAGAAAACATTCGAAATAACCTAAAAACGTCAAAATAATAATATGCATATATGTGTAAAAAAAAAGTGTAAATTAAACAATATGAATGTAAATATACTTTGTATATGATATAATATAACACAACGTAAAACTCTTTTATGAATAAATAATAATAAAATTATTTTTAACGTTAAAATTATCAGAGCAACTTACCACAGTTTGTTTACAATTTGCACGTCGACGCCATGACAGTTTTCAGTATAGTTCTATTTCACTAGAATATCCATAGGCGAACGAGTTTTGCCGAACACCTCCCGACAATTGCCGAAGTCCCACTCTCCCAGCTTACTTTAGTATCGTGTAGAGAAAAAATCTCATGGATCAAATTGACAAGTATAAAATAAACAATTTTTTTTTAATAAACGGTATTCTCTGAATTATTTTTATTATTTTTGTATGAAAATAGAATACGTTTTATGAAGATAGAAAAAACCTCGGCAATATATATAAATTTTAACCTTAAAATTTTTAAATATTAAAATTAGAGTGAGACTTTTTCTCTATAGCGCGAGTGCTGACGGGTTAAAAATTATTAGATACGTAAAAAAATGTTCCATCACATTTATTTACGAATTTCTTTAACTGAAATAATTCAAAAAATATCAATAGTTTTATTTAAAATAAAACTTTAATTATTATTTATTATTCTATAGGAATAATAAAACTGAATCAGTGAAATTTGACTAATTTGCAGTGACTCTAGTCTTGCGATTTGAATCAGTGAAATTTCACTGAAGATTAGATAAAAATGATTGAAATTTTCAGTAGTTTTTTAATTGGCGAATCAGTGAAAAATGACTGAAACTTCAATTATTTTTAACTGATTTTCAGTGAAATCCCACTGATTTAAATCGCGAGAATAGAGTCACTGAAAATCAGTCAAATTTCATTGATTTTCAGTGGAATTTCACTGACTCAGATTTAGAGAGATGACCGAGTGATAAAATCATTGTATATTAGAAGAATATTGTTACTGCAACTTCTTTAAAATTATTTTCATCATTTCAATTCAATTATTATTTTCTACAATTTTTAACTAAAATTCTTCTTTACATCAATTATTTTTAATAATTTTCGACAAAAAGTTCTTTGAGAATTTTCAAATCCATTTGTTTACAATTCAATTTTACGAAATTTAGATTATTCGGAAATTCTTCAATTAAATGTATATTAGAAAATAAAAACTTTAAAACATTTTTAAAAAATTCGTTTAAACTGTTTTAGAAAAATTTATTCTACAGAATTGTTAAAAGTATGAAAAATTCAAATTTTCAATCAATTTTTATTAGAAAATTCTACGAGAATTTAATTATTTGAATTCAAAAATAAATAATTTATTGAAGAATTGAATGTTTCTTAAAATTGAATTCTTATAAAGAATTTTATCGACAAATTTTTAAATAATTGGATTATTTCGACGAATTTTAATAAAATTTTTAAGAATAATTTCATATTTCGAAGATTTCTATTAAAATGGCATTAAAAATAATTGAAATTCTGTTAAGAGTTTTATTATTTATGAAAATAATTTAATTATTGCGAAGAAATTTATAAAAAAATTTATGTAAATAATAAAATTCTTGGGGAATTTTTATTATTTATGAAAATAAATAAAATAAATAAATGTTTGCGTAGAATTTTATTAAAATTTTTTTTAAATAATTGAATTCTTTTAGACAATTTTTATTAAAATTACAGATATTGAAAATCATTGAATTCAGGAAATTTTTTAAAAATAATTGAATTTGGGAGAAGAATTTTATCATTTTTAAAGATAATTGAAATTTTGAAGATAATTTAAAAAAATTTGTGAACATAATTGAACTCATGCGGAAAATTGAAATTAAATGAAATTCTGGAATGATATTTATTAACATTTTTAAGAATAATTGAATTCTGATATTTTATTAAAATTTTATTGAAAATAATTGAATTCTTGCAAAGAATTTTAAAATAATTGAAATTGACAAGAAATTTATAGATTAAGAATAATTAAATTTATAAAATTTCAAATTAAAACCTTTTGAAGTTCATCTATTTGGGAAAATTGTAAACGCAACTCTTTTAAAATTGAATTAATTTTGAAATACTTATGTAAAACTATTCATTAAATAATTTATAAGAAAAAATTTTATTATAGTTTTTCAAAAATTAAGTTATTTAAAAAAAATAACTGTCATAAATAGAAAAAAATTAAAGGTTTTGTATTAGAATTCGTGGTAATTTTATAGTTTCCAAAAAGTTGAAATTAACATGACTGTTACCTGTGGAATCTTTAGTTGCAAAGCTCATGAAACTGAGAGTAATTCTTTAAATGTACACCCTTTTTCAATGTTTCGAGCCAAAGTTGGCTGAACATTGCATAAAAGATTAAAAATTCTTAAATTTATTTTAAATTTCTTAGAGTTCCATACAATGTTCAGTCAATTATTGCACTAAACATTGAATAACAGTGGAAATTTAAAGAATTATTTCAAATTTCAAGAGCTTTGCAACTAAAGATTTCAAAAGTATCAGTCAGGTTAATTTAAACTTTTAGGAAAATTTTGTAATTATGTGGGAAGTTAGTGATCGAAACTTTTTCTAAATTTTACATTGAATTTTCTCGCATTAATATCGTGAAATAACAAAACAACAACAGCAACAAAAATAATAATTTTAATTAATAATTTTAATTTACTATTCAAACAGGTCCGTTTGTAAAAGAAGGAACATCGCCTAGTCCATCGCCATTACTTCATCGTGCACAAATAAACGTGCGAGCTATTACAAAAACATCGGACTTTGTCGATGGAAATAAATTATCACCATCACCACCAACATCGCCACAATTGGGAAAAGTGATAATTCGAGCAGCAAAAAGTCCAGAGAGAGCAACGAGTCCAGATTATGTGCGAACACCAACAACAGTTGTCAGTCCCACCTGTCTCAGCAGTCCCTATAAACAAGTTCGTGGCGCTTACGTCAACGTTCAAGGTGACGAAGGTAAGACGCCCTCTGAAATCGGCACAAATCAACATAACGATTGCACAACAAGCACCGGTAGATTAGAGTGCACTCAATCATTCGCCGATCATCTTCGTACTTCGACTGATGTGAATAAAACCCAAAGTCAGTTGCTTTCCGGCAGAGGAACACAACGTTCAATTAATCCAAAAATTCGTTCCCTTACGACATCTAGAATTTACGGTAGACCATTAAGATGTAATAAAACAAGAATACCCATCAGTACATTATCGAAAATAAAGGATGAAAATCATCCTCCCGAAAGAATGGAGGAAGCCACGTGCAATGTTAGTCCAAATGAATCCAAAGTCAATCATAATGTTTCGTCCCAATTCATCGCGACCCCCCTCTCACGAAATCAGAGGCGAATTCTCAATCCCAATTCGAGAATTAATTACGAAAAGTCCCTCGGTATTCAACACCTGAAACCCAGTGGAACAACTCCGAAATTATGTAGAAAACTATTAGAATCTGATCTAGACACTCCAAATTTTAGTCGAAAATCAACAAGACCCGATGATTGTGAAAACGGAACAATTTTCAAAAATGGTATAACTCCAATTGTCGAGAATCCCGGTAGCTCAACTCCAGAATCAACCCCCAATTCTCAAAAATCGGAAAATTTAAATAATTCTCCACCAGATTCCCTAACTATAGAATCACAGTCAAATGCGCAAACATCCGAATCACCCGATTTTAATTCAGAAACAACGAATTCAAAGTCGAATAAATCTGAGCGTAAAATAAAACGCAGCGAAAGTTATCGAATGGCAAACAGTCCAATAATGTTCATTAAGAAATTTGCCAATTCAGAAAAATCTCCAAAGATTATTCGAACTCCTTCTGAAGAAATACAGGAGGAATTGCTCAAGGAAAGAATAAATTATCCAGACTCGATATCAAGTCCAGAACCACAAATCGATAATGATTTTGAAGTGAATTTAGTTACTTGTCCCTTCCCAACAATTCCAACAAGTCCAAGACCAAGAACTTTGGATCTTGAGCCTGTTAAAGTTCTCCAGTATTCAGGAAATGATACAGAAATTTGGTAGTTTTCAAATATCGAGAAGAATAAAGTAACTTGAGTAAAATTCTAGAAATCATTAAATTGTAGAATTATAAATAATCTTATGTCTCGAAGGACACATTAGTCATTGAATTTATAATAGTACATTATTTCTTTTGTTATCTTTAGAAAAATTCCGGTGACAATAATTCCATCACGTGCGCCACACAGGAATCTGGCCACCGAAAAAAAATCCAATTAGATAAATATAATTTATTCAAAAGACAAACAATAATAATTACATGAAGATAAAGGAAATTTTTTTCAGGGGTGAATTTTTTTCTCCAAACTGTTATACGTCATGTTTTCATTATTATCTGCCTATGCCTTTTGCAGCTGCGACTAAAAGACGTAATTTAAAAACGATTTTTTTTCCTGTTTAGAAATTGTTTTTATGATAAAGTAGTGAAAGAAGAATCCTAGGGAAGATTAAATTTTCCAGCAAGGTTAATCGAAACATTTCACATGTCTCTCTAATCTGAACAATGCATTCATCGTCTTTCATTCTGTCTCTAATCTTCATGTTTCCCTATATACATCTCTCTATTTATTGATAGCACTATTATATATTATCCTATTTTTTTCAAAAGCTCAAGGCAATCGCTCAAGTAATTTTACTTCCGACAATTATGTCACTGTCCTTCATTCGAGAAGAGTTCGATTTTTTCCAACTTTGAAATAAAAACTTTTTTCCAAAAATTATTTGCCTCTCTGAAACAGAAAAGTAAAAAATTAATTCATCAATTTTAGTTATCAAACTTGTGTGTTGATAAATTTTTATTTAGGTAAACTCGTTATTCAGATAAAACTGTAGTTTTCCGAACACACGTTTCTGCGTTTTACAACTGAGGTTGACGACCGGAGAAGGATTTAATAAAGAAATTTATTAGCACGTGCACTTCTTCCTTCTTCTTCTCCGCTTATCAAGAGCAGGAAGAAACTGCAAATTCAGCAGAGAAAGAGAAATGAAGGAAAAAGGAATTAAGAAAAAAGTTGTTTTAATGAGTTAGATGGGAATGTTAAGGGGGTGCCCGGAGAAAATTGTGTTCACCAGCCCTTATCTTAAACGCTGTCTCAATGAGCTACAGAATTGCGTCAGATTTTCGATGTTTATCCCAAACGATGAAACTGCAGATGCAGATAAATAAATAAATTTCCCTGCCGCTCCTTCTCTCTCACTAATGTGGGGGGTTCAAATACTTCCACTTGCCACTGATAGTATTCAGTCAACGGTCCGGTCGCTCGACCGGACGGAACCTTCATTTTTTCCAATCAATTTTTGCCAATAGGAATTTTTAAATCAAATTAAAATCATTTCTTAATAGAATATCATTTCGAATATCGAATTTCAGTGAAGAGATAGCAATGATAATCCTAATTTCGGAAGATAAAGAAAGAAAAAAAGTGCGCACTTTCAAAATCTATACTTCTTGTTTCTGATACACTTATCAGTGAACAAAGTAAATCTTGTTGGTAGACAAACTGTTGCCAAAGAGGCGGAAAACGAAACAACTTTTTCACAGACTATCACCATTTAAAAAAGCGCCTTTTTTCAAATAGCAAACATGCTGGCAAGACATCTTCTGTTTCTAGCGACCCGAAGACCTCGTAAGTTTCAAAACAATACTAAAACATAAAGAAACACTTTTGAAAAGACTTAATATTTAAAAAAAAAAATTAATCGAAAAACTATTTCTGGAAATCGTTGTTAATTATTTTTAGAAATACAAAATATTTCGTTACTATAATAAGAAATTTAAATCACAAAAATTGATCTCTTGACAGTGCAATATACAACATGTGGTGTAACGTTTCTTGACCAAAAATTCTCACTGCTTATCCAAAGTAATATACACAAAACAATAATAGATACCAAAAGGAAAATATTTTCATTTTACTTTTTTAATTCAAATTATCAACATTAATATTAATCTCGAATTACGAAACAAGTATTTCGAGAATAATGTTACAAAAAAAAGAAGAGGGAAGCATTTTAAAAATAAACGCAGAATGTTGCGGTTTACATTTTTTTTGCATCCCACGCTTTCAAATCTCTCATTGGGAATTTTCCTATTATAAAGATATGACCCCAAGTAATGCTTTAACCTTCCAACTTTATCATTTTGATTCGTACGACTAATCCGAAAGTTTCAATCAGATATTAGAGTATAATGATTTTCTACTAAATTCAAATATAAATGATACTCTAAATTCAAATTTCCAAAATCATAATTAAATATCTTACTACAATTTTATCCATTTTCTAAACATTTTAAACTAGTTTCTATTAATAAATATTAAATAATAAATACAAATAAATTTTTACTTTCATTTTGACAGTTGAGAAATTTTCAAAATTCTCAAATATTAAAATTAATTAATAAATTGCAGAAAAATTATTGACTTTCAGTCACTGTTATTATTTTTATAAATTACAAATTCGTTGCAAAAGAGAACTTTTCGTAAAAGAGAATTCTTTAGAAAATATTTGCAAATAAATATTTATTTAAAATTATTCTTTTTAATTTTGAATTTTTTCTAAAAATTGAATTTTATATTTTGCCCCCAATTAAATTCCTTCTAATAAAAAAAAATATTCTGTGAATAATTGATAAAAGAGAAAAAGATATTTTTCAGCCAATGAATCATATTTGTCTATGACAAATGTGTTATATAATGAGAGCGATCTTAATAAAGAGTAATGATGGATTTCTTTATCATTTAGCATACCTCATCAAATCATTTTCACAACAGATGCCAAATCCGCGCTAAATAACAAATGTAAAAAAGCTAGATAACCCCAATGAGATCACAGCTGTAGGCAACTTTCTTGTTTTCACTATCGCATAATAAGTCAACGAAAAGGTTATATCTTATATTCTCTCGTAATTTAACTATCTATTTCCCCTTTTCTCTCAACATTCTCCTAAAACACCTGTTAACTAAATTTTTTAAAGTTACAAAAAATTTACAAAGTTACAAAATTAAAAAAAACATACAAAGTTAATCAAATGAAATACAATATTGTAAATAAAAACTAATCTAGATTTTTTAGTCAAAAAATAATTGTTTTTCGAAAATCTCTAAAAACAAAAAAAAAAATACAGTCCTTGGATCGACTTTAAAGCGTAAAAAGTTCTTTTATTTTATTTAGAGCTGTGACAAAAAATTTATTATCTATTTTTCTGACTTCTTCCTGATTTTTAGAATTTTTAACTTTTTATTTAACTGGACTTTCAATTAACATAATTTTTATCTTTTTATTTAAAAGAATTTTTATTTAGAGGAATTCTTATTTAACTGTTCTTGTAAAATATAATTATTTTTAATAATTTGGAGAGAATTCTTTTAGAATTTAATTATTTAAAAAATGAAAGTTAATTTAAAATTAATTTAAAATTCAATTATTTACAATTTAATATTATAAAATTTCGATTACTTGATAGTTTTTTTAAATAAACATTATATAGGTATAATTTAAAATTCAACTATTTTCAAAGAAAATGAAACCAAGATTTTTCAAACAACTAAATTTTTCAGAATTTTGAATTAAAGTTACCCAGAGTTTCAAAATTTTTTAAAATTTTAATTTGAAGCCTTTTGAAATTTAATTATTTGTGAAAATTTCCTTTGTAACTCTTCTATAATCCAATTATTCTCTAAAACAATTATTTTTAATAAAATTGAGAAAATTCTTGGAAAGTTTAATTATTTAAAAAAAGTTTATTTAAAATTGGTTTAAATTCATTTACTTTCAATTCAATATTACGAAATTTCAATTATTCGACAAAGTTTTAATTAAATACAAGATAACAAACAATTCAACTACTTTCAAAGAAATTGCAACTAAAATTGTTTAAAAATCTAAGTTCTATAATCTAATTCTTTAAATTCTAAAGAATTTTTAATTAAAGTTACTCAAATTTGCAAAATTTTTAATTTTGATTTTTAAAAATTTTTACTGTAACTCTTCTAATAAGCAAAAGTTTCTAAAATTTTTTACTAAAATTCTTTTTAATTGTTTTTAATTAATTAATAATTTTCAGAAAGTTATTTGAGAATTTAATTATGTAAATACACAAATTTAATTTTTCCATAAAAATTGCAAACTGTAATTCAATAATTTTTTTAAAAATTGAATTGGAAAAAATGTCCATTAAAAAGGAATTTATGAAAAAACAACCTTTGGAAATTTGGCATTAGCATTTTTATTTTGGTGTTTTTGACTCTCAACGCTATCCGAGGCCTGAAAATAAAAAAAACCTATAAAAAAATTATTCTTTAAATAACTTAAAAAAAAATGTTAACTTCCTAAAAGATTATTAAAGTAAATAAATACTAAAAGTATTATTATTAAATTACCAAAAAATTGACAAAATTTTAAAATATTTTTAAAAAATCAATAATTTGGATAAAAATAAAAATCGAATTGAAGAAAAAAACTTTGGCGTCAAGAAACGTTCCACGTATAATGGAGAAGAGTCTACAATGTAGCGATATCATTTGAAATATTAGGCTTGCATTAACACTTATATAGTGATATATACACAGGGGGGGTAATTATCAATTGTTGAAACATTAGACTATCCCTCGTGCGTATGAACTTATAATCTCAATGCACTTCCACGAGTAGATAATTATATTCAAATAAAACAAATTAAATCTAGGACGTATTGTCTATATCCGATGGAATAATTCTATTTCATAAATTCTAGAATGCTGTCAATGTTAATATCAAACAATTTCCTATATGACAATTTAATTAATCAACTAACAATATAGAAAATTCCAAGAAAATTAAAATTGACCTACTTTTTTGGACCAAAAATTTTTATTTTTCCAAAAAGTACTTTCTCATTATGATGAAAATGAGAAACGAAGAAAAGTAATTTTTTACCCCATATATATATTAATTTGAAATTTGCCCGAAAGCAACGACTTGAAAATAGAAATTTTGTAGACTAATAATTAAAATTGAGACAATCGTGCCATGTATATAATATATAATTAGTATACAAATGACAACATTATCTTAAAATATGACAAAAACATAGAAAAGCGAACAAGTTAAAAATATAGAGACTTTTTGCAATTTTAAACTTGATTATCAAAAATAATCAAGATTAAAAAAATATCATTTCATTTACATTTCATATTTACATTATAATAGTAAACCGTGCCTCGTTAACACAGTGACTAACGAGTTTCCACCACCTTTCTCTCTCACACATTCAAAATAGTTCAATTGTATTTTTTCTTTTTTTTTTTTTTTATTGTGAAAACTTGTTGCATGAAGCATTGTTTTTGATTTTTTCCCAGTGGTTGTTTGTGAATATATAATTTTTTTTTGAAGTGAAATTTTATAATCTGTTAAAGAAAAAAAAAATAATAAAAAAAAATAATTCACCGTGTAAACGTGGCATTTTCACGCATGTTTTACAATTGGTAAAGCGTATGCACACCTCGCGTTGTAAGTAGCGTCAAATTCAGTGACTAACAAATAAACTAACTATATTTTAGATTTTTTTTTAAATGGGCTAAGCATATTATAAAAACCATAAAAGTATTTTTTTAATACGCCTTCCTGGTATTATGTCGTTTTATCCGGCACTATCCGTCCAAAAACCAAAAGTGTACTTAATAAATCATTTTTCCCCTAAAAAATTATTAAAACAAATAATATATAAATTAAAAAATAAAGAAAATCTGCAATTTATCCACAAATTTCTGCAAAAGATAAATAAAATACAACTGAATTTATATTAGAAATTTATTAACAAGGTTGTATCCAAATAAATTAATTTTAATTAATTAATTAATCAAAATAAATTTTATTCTTTGTATTTTTATGTTTATTATTATTTTTTTTTACTTATATTATTATTATTTTTAGTATTATTATTATTAAAAATTAAATAATATTAAATTTTTTGGCTGTTTTTTAAATTTAATTTATATAATAAATTGTAAATGTATTATTAATTAAACAAAAAAAGGAAAATTTAATTGTAAATTTAATGATTGATGATTATAAAAAAGTACACTTTTTGCCATGATAATCGACATAAACTGCTGTATTAATTGCTTAAACTAATGTCAGTGGTGATAATTAAAAACACGGACGTACTTGCAACCTGGGGGAGGGCATACTAATTTGCAATAATAATAATTGTGTATATGTGAATACGTTATTTTATTTTATTTAAGCATTTTTTGTTTCCTCTCTTTGTTTTATTTTTTTGTATGCGTATGATGATTATAAATATATGTATATGTATGTATTTTACTAATGCGTTTTTCTTTTTATTTTTATCTGTATATAAAAATGAAATAGTTAATTATCTTTATAGACTTATTACGATAACGATAATTATTATTATATCATTATTATTATTATTATTATTATTATTATTATTATTATTATTATTATTATATTATTATTATTATTAATATTATTATTAATATTCTTAATATTATTATCATAATTGATACGAATAGTATTTTTGTCTGTATGAGAATAGACGTATTTTTTTGAAAACTGGAAAGTCGATTAATTTGGTCGTTTTTTATTTCACCCGCACATTTAAAAAAAGCACCTTTAGAAAAAGAATTTTTTTTCCACAAATTTCATTAATTTCCCTCGGTTGTAAATACTCGTGTTTTGCTCATGGTTAATTATAAAATATGTTAAATCCTCTTTCCCATTCCTAATTGCACCTGCTGTTTGATTTTTGTTTTGTGTTTGTACTCTCATATTGCAAATCCATAGTTTTTAGATTAAATATAAAAACAAAACATGCACCATTATACTGTGTGGTATTTTCATAGTAACTCATCTTCCATTGTTCCATGTTCACTAATTGGTGAGTATAATTTTTGTTTCATCCCCAATTTAATTCTTTCGACCTTTTTATCGATAAGAAAAACATTTTTATTTAATATTCAACAATATTTGAGATCAAAATAAATGAAATTTATTTGTAAAAAAATAATTTTTTCATTAAATCTATTTTTGATTTAACAAACAAAATTTGTAATAAAAAAATTTATTGGATCAAAATTAATTGTATCTACAATTAAAATTTTACGAATTCTCATGTAACAATAAGGTCGAAAGAGTCAAAGAAAAAACAGTTCAAAGATGTTCGAACATTTTGAAAATTAAAATAAATTACTATTAAAATTATGAAAAAAAGTTTCATTAAAAATCTGATTTCAATAAAAAATCAATTCATTGTTTACAAGCTAATCTTTCTAATTTAACTCATTTTTATCTAGCAAGTTTTCAAATTTTACATTTCATTAATCGTGAATGTTAAATCTTTTACTTTGAAAACTTTTATTCGTAAAAAAAATTAATTAACTTCTCTCTGTGGCTAAAAATATTCGTTTTTCCTAATGAAAAATAAAACTCAAACGCAACAAACAATGTAGGTGATCATTTTTCGAAATTTACCATTTTTTCCTTACTAACACGCACACGCATTTATTCATTAACACATTTTGCTCTGTCTGCCTTTTTTGCAAAATGCCTGCTTTTTTCTAAAACTCGCCTGCTTCTGTGATCTGCTTACAAGCTTTATAAATGTCTGTTTTCTAAATTCTATTCAAAATAATAGTTTTCAAATCGTTTTTTTCAAAAATATTTAAAAATTCTAAAGTCAGAAGAAAATTTACAATTTAAAGCGCCAAAAAAATCTTTAAACTCGTTTCAGTAGATTTAAAAATCCTTAATATAAATAAAAATTCAAGAAATTAAGTGAAAAAGACACTTGTTTAAAGATTAGAAAGCTGAAAAAATAAAAAAAAAAACCAAGCAAAAACGGAAAGAAATTAAGGGAAAATATATTTGTTTCAGAAAATCCTTTGCTTTCAATTACCGGTGAAACAATTCCAGGACAAGTAATAGTTCAACAACCGCCACCCTACATTGGTCCACCAAGACCGCATGATCTAAGAAAAACTCAAAGTTACGAAGATTTCGGAAATGATTCTAAATCTCAGGCAATGTTCTATACAAGGCAATGTGACATGTACGACAACCGATCAAATTATTATCATCACCAACAACAACCATCACCACAAGCTATGTATCATCAACAAACATATATCGACGATCCGAGAAATTATCAAATCTACGAAAAAGGTCCACAATATTTGGATCAACATCAAGTATATCCGAATTACAATGAAAATCAAAGAGTCTACATTCAACAAGCTGTCCAAGCTCAAAATACACGGAATCAGCAATTTTTCACACTTCCAAATAAAAAATCACAAAGAGAAATTGAACCTCCTCGTAGTGTAACACCTGATATTACTCGAGGTTTAAGTCGAGGTCCCGTAAGTTCCATGCACGTGCTTGCCAGACAGAGTCAGAAACCAGCACCGGAACAAATAGGATATCATAGACAACAACCGGAATCTGACACCTACATGGACCTGAGAAGGAGGCAAATGGAACTAGAAGCTAGAAGCAAACTCTTTCAGCAACAACAACGAAATCCTCCCGTGGACGTTAGGAAAAGGTAAAACAAAATTCCACCTTCTAAATATCTGTAAACAATAATTTCCAATTCTTAATAATAATATTTAAACGAACGGGTATTATAAATATGAAAAATATTTCATTATAAATAAAAACTAATAATTAAACGAACAAGTTTCGGCAAACGATTAAAAATTAAAATTAAATAGAGTATTAAATATTTCAAAAAAAGCAAAGAGAAAAATAATAATTTTCATTTGCAGATTCGCGCCACCTCAGGCTTTAGCTTTCGGATATCGATCATTCGCCGCATCGCCAGTACAACAGCTGGAGAAAAAATACCCCTCTGTGGAAAATTTGAAACGTACACCACTTTCTCCAATTGGTCCAGAGCATAACAATGGATTTAAATCGTCAACGCCAACTGGAAGATCAACACCCACTGTTGCTGAACGTTTAGCATTAACGACAAAAGCTCCACAATCGAGAATCAGCACATCGGGGAGAAGTACACCAGTTCTGGGTTCTTCCTCAGGAAGAAATACTCCCACGAATATTGTTCTCTCCCCAACGAGAAGCACCATGTCAAACGAGGAATTATTTACTGCCATTCACAAATCAAAAAAGAGATTGAATATTAAAGATGACAGTGCTGATAATTTATCGCCCACAGGATCAATGCATTCACTTTTGACAAACAACGCTGGCACGCGGCACAGTTGGAGTCCCGAATCTCAAAAAACTCCCGAAGTGAGTATCGAATTTAATAGCCAACTATTTTTCAAAGACAGAGAATTTTTCTTTTCCAATTTTCATACGATCAAAGCCTTTTAATACGAATTTTATTTTAATAAATATAGTTAGTTTCAAATTTGAAGAATTAATAACGTTTTCAAATTTTCAGGGCTGTTATAATTTAAATAAACTTTTTGCGTTAACGTTATTCCAATGTCATGATTTCGTATTTTATATGAAAAAGATAAATTAATAAATTTTAAATTCGACTTATTGAAAGCATAAAGAATTAAATTTTCCACATTTTAAACAATTAAAAGTTGCATTTGAAAAAAATGACTATTTTCTATCAATAAGAAAGGATTTAAAAACATAAACAGGGCTCGAACCAGTGAAACCATTTAAATATACGGACTTTGCGGACCAAAAATGAAAAATTACGGACCATTTACGGACCAATTACTGACAAAAATATAACTAGTCCGAATCAATTAAGAGAACATTTTATTTAAAACTATAAATTAAATTTTTCATAACTATAAAACATGAAGATATTCAATTATTATTTACAAGAATATTTAACTAAAATTGTTCTTTAAATCGATTATTTTTAATAATTTTCGAAAAAGTTCCTTGACAATTTTCAAATCAATTTCTTTACAATATTCAATTTTACGAAATTTCAATTATTCGTAAAGTCTTCAATTAAATAAATATTAAAAAATAAAAACTTAAAATAATATTAAAAAAATTCAATTAAACTTTTACAAAAAAATTAATTTCAAAATTCAATTATTTTAAAAAATTCACGCTATATTGCTTTTAATATTCAATTATTATATTATCTAAAATTTTAACTGAAATTTATTTTTAAATCAATTTTTATTAGAAAATTCTATTAGAATTCAATTATATAAATACAAAAATAAATAATTTATTAAAATAATGGAATGTTTCTTAAAATTCAATTCTCATAAAGAATCCTTATCAACAAATTTTCAAATAATTGAATTCTCACCACGAATTTTAATATAATTTTTAAGAATAATTACATTTTTCGAGAAATTCGATTAAAATTGTATTAAAAATAATTAAAATTCTACGATGAGTTTTATTATTTGAGAAAATAATTGAATCCCTAAGAAGAAATTTATTACCTTTGAACAATATTTAATTTTTGCAAAGAATATTATTACTCTTGAAAATAATTAAATTTTTACAATAATTTGTAACTTTTACAAAATTGAATTTTTTTCGTGTTTTAAACTAAACATCTTCTATAAATCCATTATTTTTAAGAATTTTTGAAGAATTTTTTAGAACTCAATTTTACAAAATTTTAATTATTCGTAAATTTTTCAATTAAATATATATTAGAAAATAAAAACTTTAAATAATTTTAAAAAAAATCGGCAATTAAAGTTTCTCAAAAAAAATTAATTCCACAGAATTATTAGTTAAAAATATGAAAAATTCAAATTTTCAAAGATTTTAATCTGAAACCTTTTGAAAATTCAATTATTTCTAAAAATTTACGTTCTAATGTTTTTAAAATTTAATTATAAAATCTAAAATTTTAACTGAAATCTATTTTTAAATCAATGTTTATGAGAAAATTCTACTAGAATTCAATTATTTAAATACAAAAATAACAATTTATTGAATAATTGCATGTTTCTTAAAATTGAATTCTCATAAAGAATTTTATCTATAAATTTTTATTATTTTTTGAAAATAATTAAAAGTTTGTGTAGAATTTTATTAAATTTTTTTTTTTAATAATTGAATTCTTTTGGAAAATTTTATGAAAATAGTAGATATTGAATATCATTAAATTGAGGAAAATTTTTGAAAATAATTGAAATTTTGCCAAAAATTTTATTAATATTTTTGAAAATAATTGAATTTCGGAGAAGAATTTAATTATTTCTAAAAATAATTGAAATTTTGTCGAGAATTTAAAAAACTTTTTGATCAGAATTGAATTTCTACGAAGAATTTTATTACTTTTGAAAATAAATTATTGACAAAGAATTGTCATTTTTATTCAAATGGAACTTTTAATAGTTTAAATTGTTTGTTGCTTCTATTACAAAATTAATTTTTTATTATCATTACTAAAAAAAACAAAGCTCTAGAAAAAATTTGATTTAAATAAAAAAAAAATGGGATTGTTTTGATTTTTTTTAAAATATCATGATTTTTAACAGTTTTGCAAATTTGACACATGGATAATGTTTAAAGTCGTGAAATTAAGTGAAAAATAAAAATGTTAATGAAAAACTAAAACTGAAAATGAGGCTCCGGATCTTAAAAGGGCACTTTTACCATTTAAAATCAATGCTGAAAGCGCCCTTTTAAGATCCGGAGCCTCAAATGTAAAGTAAACATAAAATAAACATAAAACATAATGAATAAAAATAATTTACCTTCCAATTTTCTATTCAGATACCAGTGACAGTTCAAACGCCGTCAGCAACATCGCGTCTCGATTTCAAGCGATTACTTCTCCAGCAAAGCATCAAAAGTGGACCAGTGAGACTATCAGCCGCTGAACAATTGAAACTCTCTCGTCAACAGTGTCAATTACAGCAGCAATTACCACAAAATCTCCCATCATCGCCTCTCTCAAAAGTTCTCAGTCCACGTTCAGCGTGGAGGTTCCAAACGCCAAGAACCGATGTTCTCTCATCAACAATAATCGAAGACACAGCTGCCGAAGAGAAAGCGATGAAACCATCTCCAGAGAATACAATGCCTTCTGCAAAATTCAAACGACAATTAGACCTATATAGTTTACAAACATCAGAAAAGGAAACACACAACAATGATAATAGAATATCGACAAAATTACTAAAAGAAATTAATAATACAAACGATATGACCAAATTATACACAAATGAATTGAAAAATAATAATAACAAAACATTGACAAATTTCACAAATATTTCTGATCAAAGGGTGCCTCCTTTATATACACAAATTGAAACAAAAATCAAGGAACAAGAGACAATGAATTCATATTTAAAGTCATCAGTACAAACAAATGCGCAAGATGCAATCAATGCATCCGAGAGTCGTAGACTGAATAACCAGTTGGCGAAAGCACAATTTTTGGCCAGTGGCCCTATTAATAGTCAAAATCAAAATACCCTTTTTGAAAAACGTTTTCGAGCGCGTTCTGAATCACCTCAACATGCAACAATGCAAAATGTTAGTCGAAGTCCAAGTGCTCCGACCCTAGAGACTGCTCTTTAAATACATTTTTTCATACAGCCCAAATTGTAAGATTTTATATAATAATTAAGAGTGAAAAAAAATTGCAAGTAAGTTGTATGTTAGAAAATGCAAAAAAATACGACGGTTCTGGTGTATTTTGTCTTTAGTGATTATTGTACTGAACTGAACTGATTAGACATTGGCTCCCGATAATTTAGATTACATGTACAAAAATGACTGAAAGTAAAGTATTTTTTAATATCAAAAAAATATATATATAAATATGTACCTCGACATTTTCATATTATTATTATTTATTCGAAATTATTTAAAAAACCAGTTTTTTTCTTACTGGAGAAAAATATTTGTATATTATTAAAGAAAACGTTAATTTTTGTTTATTCTACAATTTTGATTCTTGAAAAAAAATTTATTTCAAGAAAACACCACGAGAGAAATAATTGTACTAGAAATTTGTAAAAAAAAAATTGTCAATTCGCAAAATTGCGAAACTGATTAATTTTCAAATACACTGAAAAGAAAACCTCGTATTATGAAATAAATTTTGTATATAGAGAAAAATTATTTCTATTTTAATAATAGCTGGCTTGCTAGTCTAGTCTGGAATGTATATTCGATAAGGCGAATTAAAACAGTAGAAAACTAAGCACATTTTTCATAATTAATTAATTCTTTAAAAAAACGGAAATCAAATTTCTTATTATAATTTTGTTTAAATTTTTTTATAAACAATAGTGAAAATTATTTTTACAGCAAACACGTGCCAAAAACCAAATTCTTTTTGAATAAAATGAATAAAATCAAGTGTGTGCTTTGGATACATTTTTACTGTGTAAATGTATAAACAATAGAGAGAGAAAGAAAGCGAGAGAAGTTTATATTTTAAATAAAATGCCTATAAATGTTGTGTACGTAGGCAATAAATAGTAATATATTTAAAAGACAAGTTTAGCGTTTAAAAAATAAAAGAGTTGCCTTAATTAAAATTGTTAAAAAACCGAAATAATCTCGGCAATGTAATCTCACAAATTTTGCGATTGAAACGTTAAAGTATCGTAAAAATCGAATTATAATTTTACCACTTAAGCCGAACAAGTGTTTTGTACTTTGCTCAGAATAAAAGAAAAAGATTCTATAGACCGATTCACTGTCGAATTTTATTTAAAATCATTACCAAAAACAATATCCCTGGGTTGCCACAGGTCAGGGAAATCAGAGAAAAGTCAGGGTTTTGTATTAAAAATACTGTAAAAAATTAAATGTTTAGAATTTGTAAGGAAATTCTGAATTTTTCTGTGTTTTTATTTGCCTCATAAACTATGAATTTACCACGAATTCTAAAAGAAACCTTCAATTTTTTCTATTTCTGACAATATTTTATTTTAAATAACTTATAATTGTATTGAAGAACTGCCATAAAGTTATTACTTTATTACTTATACTAGCAAAGTCCTACGCGCGCGATGCGTGCGTGAATGATTTAAAGAATTATCACGGTAGCAATCTGCCTACCTGCTTTCTACAGAAAAAATTTAATAATTTCAATTTATATTCTTGCATGTTTACAATAGTTATGATTTTTTAAAAAATCTCGGTATTTCAACTATATTATCATTTCCACGTCTCAGAAGCCATTTAAAAAAATTGCAAGAAGATCAAAAGCGGGGAAAGCAGTGATTTTTATTTTTTGTCACGGATTTTTCAGAAATCCTAAAATATAAAATAAATCAAAATCACTGCTTTCCCCGCCTTCGATCTTCTTGCAAAATTTTGTAATGACTTCTAACATTAAAATAAATAATTAGCAAACGAAAAAAATTGCTTCCAAGGGGTGGAAATTATAATTTAGTTTAAATACCGAGATTTTTAGAAAATCCTCGAAAAATCAAAATTACTACTTTTCTTGCCTTGGATCCTTTTGCGATTTTTTAATGGCTTCTGTTATTAAAATAAATATAATTACCAAGTGAAAAAACATGCCTCTACTCAACTCAAGTTTCAAATGTAATTTTTATACAGTGAGTTCTCGCGAGTCGTTCAACTCACGAGTCGTTCAAACTCGCCAGTCGTTCAACAGCTGATCAGTGTCCGATTCACGAGTCGTTCAATTTCTAGCATGCGCGCGCCGGTGCTCAGTGCTGTGTAATTTAAACGGACCAAAGTCATTGAATATTGTGTCTTTCGGGGCGATAAATATGTTTCACACATCCCTGAAATCGCCTTGGAGGCGTGGCTTATGCGTTGAACGACTCGTGAGTTTTATGATCTTGAAAATTTTCGAGAATTGAACGACTCGCGAGAACTCACTGTACATGTAATTTTCTCATGAAATCCCTTAAACATTTTTTAAGCTCATATAAATGTAATAAAATTCAAACTCAAAAGATTTAAATTATAATTTCTGCAAATATTTTAATTTTCATTCTTATGTTTCTAATAATGGTTGGGGTACAGTTTTTCTAAATCGTATTTTCTAAAATTTTTTTTTCTAATAAAGGTGAATTTCTAAAAAACTTTTTTCTACACGGAGAGAGAATATAATTATATTAAATTTTGTAAAAATATTTTCAAATTGGGGAAAAAGTACAACAAAGCGAAATTTTGATATAGAAAATACTAAACTTTAAAAAAAGTTTTGTGAAATTTATTAAAGTTATATTAGAATTTAATTAATATTCTTGACATTTAATATAATTATACTAAATTTTACATAAGTTTTTTTAAAGTTTAGTATTTTTTATATCAAAATTTCGCTTTGTCGCACTTTTTCCCCAATTTGTAAAATACATTTACAAAGTTTAATATATATTATCTCTCCGTGTAATAAAGGTGATTTTGAAATTTTCTGTCTTCTAATAAAGTTAATTTGCTAAAAATTTATTTGTCTAATAAAGGTAATTTTCAAAATTTTTCTTTTTTCTAACAATATTCTATTTTTGTAATCACGATCAAAAAGTACATATGATTAAAAAATAAAATTTACGAAAATTTGTTAATTCTTTAAAAAAATACTTGATATTTCGTTAAAAAATTATGATAAAAAATAGAAATTATGCAAATTACTTAACAAAATTTTTAAATAATCTAGTTAAAAATCGTAATTAACAAATTATAGGGATTTTTTTCCTAAAAATATTTTTCTATAAAAAAATTTTTTATAAATATATTAACTTTGGAAATTTAAATGTAAAAATGATGCAAATTATTTTTTTTCAAAGAAGAATAGAATTTTGTTAACAAATTGTGATAAGAAATAGTAATTTTATAAAAAAATTTCTTCATTTTCAAAAAGAAACTTATAATTTTGTAAACAGAATTGTAATTGAGAAACAGAAAATTTAATCTTTATTTTTGAAGAATTTTCTAATTTTTATCAAAATTATGGAATTTTAGAAATTTTAGGAAAATAAACATTAGAAATTATAACTTTTTATAAAAACTTTGTTCAGAAAACAGATTTAATTAGAAATCGCCTTTTTAGACAAAAAGGTGTAGAAAATACTTGTTTTAAAAATAGTGTTCGCCTTCCCTAATAATTGTTAGTATTCATCGGAAAAATATATTGAATACATTGAAATGTTGATAATTGAAGGAAAGAAATGTTTAATAGAATTTATAAGTATTATTTTTTCTGAAATAAATAAAGTACCCGATTCTGCGTAACCGGAATGGCAAGAGTATCAATAAATGTAAAAAATGCGGAATTTTTTTTGAAGTTTATTGAATTATCATTTTATAGGAGACTGAATTTACCAAAAGAAATAAAAATTCTAAAGATTTAATTGAAAAACACTATTTTAATCTAAAAAACATACTAAATATTTAAACTTCAAAATTTAAGTGTCTTTAATCAATTTATTTTTGTCAAACAAAAGTGGCAAATAAAATTCAGTTCACTAATTTAATAATATTGTAAAAAAAATTGTTTGATGTTAGAATTTAAACTTTTTATCAATACCAAGTTTGAGAATTTCATTAAATTTATAAGAATTAACAAAATAATAGAGAATTCTTGAAAAAATTACATGTATTTACCATTTTTAACATCAGTTGAATAGAGGCATGTCTTGATCATTTTTCTTTTATTTGTAAAAAAATTTCTTTGCATCAAGTGGTTATCACACATATGGGAATACTCATAACCAAAATTTCTATCAAAACATTAATTATTACTATAGAAAAACAAAAGACGACACTTTCTGTTCACGGAATAGCAAATTATTATTATGTATAAATCAATTAATGAAGTATTTTTTTTAAAAATTTGAATTTCAATTCTGTTCAAATTAGTTTTAATTTTTTAATTTTTTAACGCAATTCTTTGAAAGAATTCAACTATCTTATTAAATATTAAAATTATTTCCAGAAATTCAATTATTTTCAAAAATTTATAAAAAAATTCTCGTCAACAATTCAATTATCTTTATAAATAGCAAAATTCTTCGCCAAAATTCAATTATATTCAGGAATTTTTATGAAATTCATTATAAAATTCAATTATTTTCATAAATAAGAATATTCATCAGAAGAATTCAATTAATTTCAATATTCATAACATTTTTCGCAAAAAATCAATTATTTTCAAAAAATCTAAAAAAAATTGTCAACATTTCAATTATATTTATTAATAAACAGCAAAATTCTTCAACAAAATTTAATTATTTTCAGGAATTTTAATAAAATGCATTGCAAAATTAAATTATTTTCATAAATATCAGTAGGTATTCATCAAAAGAATTCATGTCAAAATTGCAATTATTTTCAGAATTTTTTCTTAATTTAATGAGTTTTAATGTTATACTATTTTAACAAAATTTCAAAAAAGAATTCAATTATTTAAAAACAATTTTGACGGAGTTCTACACGCGTATTCAATTATTTTAAAAAATAATAAAAATTTTCAGGAATTTAATTATTAAAAATAGAATTTACATAAATTTTTTCGAAAAAAATCAATAATTTGAAACTTTTTTATAAAATTCTTCGCAATAATTAAATTATTCTTATAAATAATAAAACTCATTGAAGAATTTCAATTATTTAAAAATTTATTGATAAAATTCTTTATGAGAATTTTAAGATATATTCAATTTTTCTTTTATTTCAATTTTAAGAAACATTCAATTATTCATTAAATTATCTATGTTTGTATTTAAATAATTAAATTCTCGTAGAATTTTCTAATAAAAATTGATTTAAAAATTAATTTCAGTTAAAGTTTTAGATAATAATTGAATTTTGAAGAAGTTACTAATAATTGCAATTTTTAGAAATAATTGAACTTTGTTAAAGTTTCAAATTCAAATCTTGGAAAATGAAAATTTTTCATACTTTTAATTAAAATTTATATGGCGAACTAATTTTTTTTCAAAAAGCTTCATCGAAATTTTTTAAAATTATTTTAAGTTTTTATTTTCTAATGTATATTTAATTGAAGAATTTCCGAATAACTGAAATTTCGTAAAATTGAATACAAATGAATTCGAAAATTCTCAAAAGGGGCCGACCATAAATTACGTAAGACATTTAGGGGGAAGGGGCTGTCAGCAAGTTCTTACGAACAATAGAAAAAATGGTGCTAATCTATCTCCCCCCTTACGAGGGGGAGGGGTCAAATTTTACAAAAAAATGTCTCACGTAATTTATGGACAGCCCCAAAGAACTTTATCAAAAATTATTAAAAATAAGTGATTTAAAAAATTTTATTTAAAAATTCTAAAAAATAATAATTGAATTGAAATTATGAAAATAATTTTGAAAAAGTTAAAGTAACAATATTCTTCCGTATATTATATAATATAAAATAATGATTTTTTCACTCGGTCACCTGTAATTATTATAATTGTATCAGAATTAGAAATTTTGAAAATCTTAGTTCCCATGGAAAAATAATGATTAAATATTTATTTATAAATGAAGTTTTTTAATAATTTTCCAATTAAGAAAATTTGTAAATAAATGTAATAAAACATTTTTTTGAGTACCTAATCATTTTTAGAGTGAATCAGAATATTTTTTAGGGTTAGGGAAAAAGTCAAAATTTTGTCTGGAAATCAGGGAAAAACAAAATTAAATTTTTGTGGCAACTCTGATCAAAATTTATATTGACAAACCTGTATTTTTCATCTTCGTCCACTTCCTTAAACTTTTCCAAAAGTTCACACTTAAAATTTCCAAAAGTTCAAAAGTTGACAACTAGAACAAAAATAAATTTTTCCCACCAAAAATAAATTTTATGTTCATTTTATTTAATTTTGTAGTTCACGTGGTCTAAACTTTGTCAACTTTGTCAATAACGAAAGACAATTGACATTTTTAGGTTAGGAAATCAAAATCGATGATTTTTTTATCAATTAAGAGTAATTCTCCTTTTCAGCAACAAATTATTGAATAAATAATCATAATTACGAATAATTTTCGTGTAATCTTAGTATAAAGCGAAGAAAAAAAATAAATAAGGATCATAAAAACATATGAAACTCGTATATGCTGCAGACTTCGTATTACTAGCACTGCATTGTAATTTCACATTTAGTATTGCAGACATTTATTGTTCGATAAAATTAATACTATTATTAAGTTTACTCACTTGAATTATTTAATTTACTGGAAAGAATCCCCTCAACAAGCCCTAACTACAGAGGCAAGTTTAAACTCAATTCCTTTCATCGTTACGTACAGGAAACGGAAATGGTAGCGCCACTGTTAACTGTCCGCACCTAACCGCGAAATTCAAAAAAATTTCTCATATTTCAAGTATATTATTATTTAAATCCAGTAAAGTTACTTAAGCAATTAATTAACAATTAAAATATTCACTGAATAATTTGAATACTTTTTTAATTTGATCAAATTAAAAAATTACTTACCGATAATAGTTGTCGCGTTTTCGTTCTCTTCATTACCATTTATAGATAACACTTCGTCCTCCAAAGTTGATCTACTGATCGGGAAAAAAGATGGCTGACCCACAAAACATTGGACGTTTATTGTACACGGAAAAATTTGTGCCAATATCGTAACAAATCAGCAACATTCCGTTTAGTGTACATTTAATATTGTGTTCCAGTTCCGTGAATCGTTAAATAATCAAAATTCTCATGAATTGTGCTTTGAATGAGTCAAAAATTTGTTGAAAATCAATGTGTTGATAGTTGCATTCCTGAGGAAAATAATAGCCTCTCGTAGTGAATGTGATTACGAAGGCAGAGGACTACGACCTTCGTATTGAGTGCACATACGGATTTCCAAAGTGCGTCATACATCAAGCTGAAAATAAAGGAGAAGAAAGAAAATCAAAAATTTATTAGTGAACGTGGTAAAATATTAGCAATTAGTTTGAAAAATCTTTAACACAGAATGACTATTCTTTCTAAGAAAAAACCTAGTGGGACAAAGGACAGACGTGAGGGAGGTAATGGGTCTGAGGTCGATGTTCATGGAGTACAAAACGAACATGGATCAGGCACAATTGCTTTACCTAATAGTTCCTATCAGGTAGGGGTGAACTCATCGTTTTTCGTTTACATCACACTTACACACGTGTCAAAACGTGCCATTTTGTAAATATTTACACCACCCCCTAAAAAAAATTTAGACTCCGAGAAATGATGAAATTTGAATATTCAAATATGTCAAGTCTGCAAATAATTCTCGTAATAAAAAAATTGTTACAGGGTTTAAATTTCATTACATTATTTATAATTTTATTCATAATTTTGACTTTGAAAAATTTGTCATTTTTTTCAAACTTTTCTTAATTTTTTTATTTTTGTAAAAAATTAGGTTCGAGGGGGTAATGGATTTGGAGTTGATCTTCACTCGGTGCAGGGTGAACATGGATCTGGTCCAATAGTTCTCACAAATCCTTCCTATGAGGTGAGAAAAAAGAATTGTTCTTATCAGCAATTTAAAGACATTCAGAAACCTGTTTGTAAATAAAGTCCCAAGATTTTGTTTACCATAATTTCAATTAGTGTCCAAAAAAAAAATGTTTTCTTTTCAATATATAAAATTAATTATTTAACAACACAAATATTTATTTTTAATATAGAAACGAATTATATATCAATTGTGAAGTTTACAATCCCTGCACTGGGGAAGGGCGACAAGTTTACGTTTCACACATTATTTTCTATAAATAACTGTGTGATTTCAAAATTCCTTAAAATCTTGATTGCAATATGTAGTATTTATAGTCATAGCATAGCGAAGGAAATTTATAAAAGCAAATTTTTTCAATGAATGCAATAAAAAAAATTCAATAAAATTAATTAAAATAATTTTTAGGGCACTGATCGTCGTGAGGAAAAACACTTTGAGGATGGCGGTGGTCCCAGTCATGGTAAACGACACCGTCAAAGAGCAAGTCCACACAGGTAAATTATTAAGAAACGAATTTTGAATTAAAGAAAAAAGAAAATAAATTAAATTTATCGAAAATTGTTTCCTTTCTCTATATGTGACGCGATCCCAAGAAAGGTACCTAAGAAGCAAACGAATTATAGGTTGGGTTCGTGTTAGATTTATCTTGATTAAAAGTTTATTTTCAATTATTTGAATTTAAAACCAATTTTTATTAAATATTTTGAATATAATGAAGACTTGAAAACCAACAATTTTTAATTAATAATTGATTCTCTTTCTGTATTTTTACTTAAAAAATTAGAAACATAACCTCAAATTTTTTGCTTCTTAGGTACCTTTCCTCAGAGCGTGACACATATTTCTATTTATTCATTTTTAAATGTAAAATAGAAAAGCAATTTCTAATCTTTACTTTTTGTTTTTGATTTCTAGTTCTTGTATTAATCGAAGTTCGCGAAATAAGCGCGAAAGAGAAAGGGACAGAGGACGTGAAAGAGAAAGGGAGAGAGAACGAGAGAGACAAGCAACGCCTCCCACAGCTTCTGGCAGTGGTTTGCAGGGTAATTAGATTAATTTCCCTTTACATATATATAATTTAGACGACCATCTTGTAGAAATTTTGAATATTCTGAATTTTCTTATTTGAATTATTTAAAATTTTATTTATGACAAAAATGATAATTGTAGGGATCAGAGACCTTTCAGATCACCCTTTCAAAATTTTGTCACCTATTTTTGTAATTTTTTGTAAATTTAGTGTAAAATTTTTGTAAGTTTCGTTTAAGTTTCTAAAAAATTTTAATTACTTTATATTTTAATAAATCTTGCTTTTAATTTGTTTAAACTTTCAACGAATGAAATTTTAGTTGACTTTGAATTTAATTCATAAAAATCTTAAATATAATTCGTAAAAATTCATTTAACCTTTCAAATTTCAATTCATTTTATTTTTAATTACACGAAGAGAGAATAAATATATAAATTTTGTTAAAGTATTTTACAAATTGGGGAAAAAGTGGGACAAAGCGAAATTTTGATATAAAAAATACTAAACTTTAAAAAAAACTTATGTGAAATTTAGTAAAGTTATATTAGAATTTAATTAATATTCTTGATATCTGACAAAATTATACTAAATTTCACATAAGTTTTTTTAAAGATTAGTATTTTTTATATTAAAATTTCGCTTTGTTGCACTTTTTCCCCAATTTGTAAAATACATTTACAAAGTTTAATATATATTAACTCTCCGTGTAATCTTAAATTCAGTTGACCTAAATTTCGATTTATTTATATTTTAGACATCTAATACAATTTGAATTTGAAAAAGAAATAAATAAATTTCTTTACTTTAAATTTTCAGAACTTTATTTTAAAGAATCTAAATTTTATTAATTCCTCATTTTTATTGATAAAATCCTATAGTCAATCCTATAGGTAAATTTTTAACTCATTAACCTTCAATTATAAAGAAAAAAATTTTTTTTCACTAAATACAAATTACTTAATTTTTTCGTCACTTTCTTATAACCTATTTTTAGAAAATAATTCACCTTTTTACCTATTTTAAAGAAAAGAGATACTGTAATTCCTGTAATTGAATGATAATCATATTCTATTAAAGAACGTATTTGAATTATTGATTTAAAAAATTTTTGTTTATAAAACTTGTACAAAAAAATACTTAGGTATTAGTTTAAAAATAATTAGTACCTATTAAACAATGGAAATGAAATTTTCAGAAATGGAAATTAAAATTATTTTCTATCTTTCATTTTCTTTAATGGTGGTAATTGTTTAATATTAATTATTTCAATTAAAGATAATACCATTGTGGAGTCAATTATTAAATAGTAATTAATAATTTAATTTCCATTCAATTGAAATAGAATAATATTTAATTATTTTTCATAATAAGTAGCAAATACGTTTAAAATTTAATTTAAATATAGAATTACGTCTCTAAAGTTTAAGAAAATTATTATTATTATTATTATTATTATTATTATTATTAATTTTTTATTTTTTATTAGGGGAGAGTGGTCCTAAGTTGGCCGCCTAAGCAAATTGGTCGAAAATAGTAACAAAATGAAATTTAATCACTTCGGCAAGTATATATTAGTGTTCAGAGATCGTTTTGCTATAATTTTGTGGTATTTAGAACGTTATAGAATGACTTTTGTAGTCTTAATACAATAAATCGTGAAAAACTGCATTTTGGACATTTCAGAAATAGCGGTCCTAAGTTGGCCACCCCCTGGTCCTAAGTTGGCCACCACTTTTTTTCGCTTGAGTATAAGGAAGAAATGCATATTCTTTTCAATTACGCAGAAATTTTACAAATTTGATACATTTAGGAGAATAAAAACGCATTATTTAACTATTTTTGTTTAGAAAATGAAGCAATATTTTATTTCATTTATTTACAGTGGTGGATGGCTGTAGAGACAGGCGTTTTTGTACTTCATTTTTTCTAATGTTTTTTAAACCATTTTTTTTTGTTTTTTGTCTTTGTTTAATTCCTACGTTACACTTTTACGGTCTTTCTCGTGATAAAAAACACAAAAAAGAAATAAAACATAAATAAAAACAAACAAAAACAATAGGTGGCCAACTTAGGACCACTGTAGATTTTTACAAGTTTCAAATTATTACGCTAATAAAAAAAATTTATTTAAAAAATCAACAGAACCTCTTATTACAACATTAAATAAAGGAACTAGCGCACACACTTATTTAGAAATTTTTAATTATTTATCTCTTGTAGCTGCTCTCGAAAAAACAAGAAAAATCAAATTTTTTTGGTCAAAAACAATATTATTGTCCTCACAATGCGTAGAAGAATCTTAGATTATAATTAGGTCCATAAATTATATCATGGTTTATCAATATATCATACCACAAAATTATAGATTCGTCCAGTATACCATCTCTGAGAAATGCAGGGTGGCCAACTTAGGCCCACGGCCAACTTAGGACCACTCTCCCCTAATAATTAATAATTTTCAAAAATCGTAATACTAAAATTGAAAATAATATTAATTAAGTATTTACTTAGTTAAGAATTAATTTTTTTAATTTGCGAAATAATTTGTTTAATAAAATACAAATTATACAGGAATAACAAAATAATTATCTTTCGAAAATTTAGGAACATTAAAATATAAAAAGTTATGTTAATAATTTTAATTATAAGCAAATTATTTAATTAATATTAATCCCTTATTTGCAATAAAATTTAAGAAATTTAATCAAAATTACTGCAAAAATATGAATTTAATTCTTGAATTCTTTAACTTTACTTTTTTTCACCTTTAAATAACTTTAAAACCATAACGAATTTTAAAATGAAACCTTGATTTTTTTCTATTTCTGACAATAATTGAATTTTAAGGAATATGGAATTGAATTTTATTTTGATTAATATTAATAATAATTATTATTAATACTAATTAGTATTATTTTGATAAACACCATGCACTGAGAGAAAATAATTATAAAATTTTATAAAAGAATTTTTACAATTTAGATAGAATTTGTTAAATAGTGAAATTCTATTGAAAGTTTCTGGTCAGTTTCATAAAATATTTAAGAAATTTAAAAATTCTTACACTAAAATTTCATTTTTAATCACGTTCCGAAATTGTAAAATACTTTTATAAAATTTGATAATTATTTCCTATTAGAGTAATGAAGAAATCATTTAGATTTCCAAACTTTGGGATAGTTTTTTATTAGAAACCACTTGAAAGAATGTGTTCGTTTCATTATTTTCCAACAAATTAAATTTATTTTAAATAATCTAATTCCCAAAGATTTTTCTTAAAATTATTATTTATAATTCATTTATTGAATTTTACTCAAAAAATTCTAATGATAGTTGTATTTTTTAAGAGTGATAGTTGGAATTTTGATAAATAATTTAGTTTCAGAATGTTTGAAACTAGAATTTTCTAAAATTTTATTCCTGTGGAAAAGTAATAATAATGATTATATTGTAAAAAATAATAAACTGAAAAAAGTCAAGAAAAAACAATGTTTGTATGTCAAAATCTGATATAGATGATTAAAAGAATAATAATGAAAATTTATTTTTATTGTCAATTAAAATTAGTATTTAAATCTAATTATAATTTATTCATTAACAAGCAGGTGACAATAGTCGCATGGGAGAGAATCATGAACATGAACTTTCAAATGGCTACAATAGCGGCGATGAATATACTGGTCGCACAAATCTTACAGCCGATGAATGGCAAGAGGTAAATAATCATTTTTTATTAACAATGAAAAATTGTTCCAATTTAAAAAATTCTTTTTTGCGAAGAAACCACTTTAACCTTTTTTTCTATTTTCCCTTAAAGCGTGACCGATGGTTTGAAAAACGAATGCGAAAAGTAGGCTTTATTGTTAAAAAAATGGGCGAAGACGGAGCTTGTTTGTTTAGAGCAGTGTCCGATCAAGTTTATGGCGATCAAGAAATGCATGGAGTTGTTAGGAAGCATTGCATGGATTATATCGTAAGTGACTATTCGTTAGAAGATGTTTATTAGAAATTCCAAGAGAATTTATTGATATCATTTTCACGTTTCTTTCCTTCAGGCAGCAAATCAAGAATTCTTTTCTCACTTTGTTGCTGAAGATTTCACCACATATGTAGATAGAAAACGACAAGAATACGTGCACGGAAATCATATAGAAATGCAGGCCATGTCCGAAATGTATAATAGAAGTGTCGAACTATTTTGTTATAGTACAGGTATTTTATTATTGTTACAATAATTAATTTACTAATCCAAATTTTATGAAGAAAAAAAATCCTATTTTCTTATTTTTCTTTTCTAATTTTGTAAAATTTCCAATTTTTACAGAACCCATTAACATTTTTCATGGAGTGCACAAAACGGACAATGAACCAATACGATTGTCATATCATCGAGTTAGTCACTACAATAGTATTGTTGATCCATATAAAGCAACAGTTGGCGTTGGTCTCGGTTTACCATCTTTTAATCCTGGTTCAGCTGATCGTGCTCTGGTATCAGATGCCGTCCGTCAAAGTGAGGACTTACATATCGAACAGGTATTAAAGTATTTAGTATTCATTTTTCAAATAATTAATTTCTAAGTATAAAATTTATACTTATTTCAAAATTACCAATTGAATTGTTTTCCTAATTTCTAGAACGCTCAAATGAACGAAATACTTCTCTGTCTCAAATATTTTTGAAACTTACAAGGCTGAAATTACAAATAATATTGAAATTAGTTTATTTAGTTGAAAATTCATTTTTTTAATTATAAAAAATAATAATTTATGACCAAATTCAAATATGTAAGTGGTAAATATAATAATTGAACATTTATTTAGTTAAGACTTAATTTTTAACTATAAAAGACGCAATACTTTATAAACAAAATTCAAATAAGTAATAAAAATATCGTCGTTCATTTGAGAGTTTGAAACTTAAGGCACATATTGCAGGCTTCGCACTCATCTAAGCTGAAATCAAATTAAAAAATTATTCCCAAAAATTTTAATAAAATTCTCAGAAACAATTGAATAATTTTTTAAAAATTTTCGAAAAAATTAATAATTTAAAAGAATTTTTTAAAAATTTTTCGCGGGAATTCAATTATTTTCAATGCAATTTGAATAAAATTTCTTTAAAAAATTTAATTAATTATTCGCAATTTGAATTTGAATTCGCAAAAATTAAATTATTTCCATAAATAATAGAATATTTTAGATAAATAAATCAATTATTTTTAATATAATAATTGTAATGAAATTCTTTGCAGAAAATCAATTATTTTCATAAATAATACAATTTTCACGGGAATTCAATGATTTAAAATACAATTTTCATAAAATTATTCAAACAAAATCAATTAGGGTCATTTGGAGTAAATGTAAACAAGGGGTAAATGTAAACAGTAGATGTTTCAGCTAAATTTACAAATTAAAAAATAAGTACGACGTCAATATTTTTACCTCAGCTCACCTACAAGATGTTCTGAGTATTGCCAATATTTTATTTTGACAATTGGCAATGCCATAGTGTAAGTTATTTTTTAATGCAAAAAAGATTGAAAATCAAAATTTTACTGTTTCAGTATTTTGTCTCGCATTTCCATAAAAATAAATTAAAGAATCAAACAAAAATATGTAATTCTTCCTTATTAATGCCCTAACAAAAATTGACTTTGATTTTTGATTTTCGTCAATTTAGTTAATAAATAATTAAGTGTTTACATTTACTCCGAGAATTCGAAAACTCGGGGTAAATGTAAACAGAACTTGAACTACATAGTAGCCAGATTCAAGCAAATTTGATCAATTTTTAAAAATATTATTTTTAGGTTCATCCGCCATATTGGATCCACCATTTTGAAATTTAAAAATTCGATTTTAGATTCTTATTCAGCAACCTTAAAAACTTCTTTTTACCAAGTTGAATAAAAATCTATTAAAATTTGTTCAATTTATTCAAGTTTTTACATTACTAATTTTGTAATGGTTGATTGTTTATTTTATATGATACATTATCAGTCAACTGGTTGATTTACTATACATCTACGAAGAATTTTTTTTTAGTTTTTCCATCCCTTAAAACAGTAGTATACTTGAAATAACTTGTTTCTTAAACCTCGCTTAACTACAGTGGTGTTTACATTTACCCCGAATTTTAGGAAAATTTCAAAATCTCGGGGTAAATGTAAACAGTCAGTTTTAGGCGATTCAGGTGCATCAATATTTTTTTGAACCTCGCAAAATTTTTCTAGGGAACTCTAGTAACAAGTTTTTAATTGCTCGCAAGATCTTAATTATTTTTATAAAAAATAAAATTTATTGCAGAATTTCAATTATTTTTTATATAATTTTAAGGAAGAATCTGACGGGACAGTCAAATCAAAAGTTAGTCCAATGTCATAATTTCGTAATTTAAAAGAAAAACACAAATTAAATTTTAAATTCTTTTCGGTGGAAAGGCGAAGAATTTATTTAATTTTGAATATTTAAAACGATTAAAAGTTGCATTTGAATAAAAATTACAATTTTCTGTCAATAAGAAACATTTGTTAAATTTTAGGTTGTTACTTAAATCATTTATTATTGACAAAAAATTATTATTTTTAGTCAAATATAACTCAAAAATGTTCAAAATGTAGAAAATTAAATTCCTTACGGTTCTACCAAAAGGAATTTACAATTTAATTTGACTTTTTTTTGAAAATACGAAATTATGACATTGGGCTAACTTTTGTTCCAATTGTTTGTCAGATTCTTCCTTAAGTGTATTCCCCGAAAAATGCAATTATTCTTAATAATTCTATTGAAATTCTTCGAAAGAATTGAATTATTTTAAAAAAATTTTATAAAGTTCTTTATAAGAATTCAATTTAAAAAAATATTAAATTATGTATTTGATAAATTATTTATTTTTGTATTAAAATAATTGAATTCTTGTAAAACTTTCTAATAAGAATTGACTTAAAATTGAATTGCAGTTAAAATTTTAGATGATAATTGAATATTTGAAACGTTATTGTGTGAATTTTTAGAAATAATTAAATTTGAAAAGATTTTTAAATTGAAATCTTTGAAAATTTTAATTGTAAAATTGTAATAATATTTAAATTTAAAAAATGATTAAAGTTTTGACTAATTTTAATTAAAAATTTTAAAAAAAAATTGGGATTTTGGAAGAATTACAGTTGTAATTTTTTTAAATTGTAGAATTTCAAAAAGATTTTGCACTGTAATAATTTTAAATATTTTTAAACATAAATTATTCAAGTTTTGAATGGAATTTATTTTGGAAATTATGAAAAACATTAGTCTTTTGGACAATTACACTAGTTTACAAAGATTTTGACCTGCAGCATTTCATTGTCATTTCTTATGTAAAATTTGCTCCCGAATCCGAATATGAAGTCAGAAATTAAGAAAATAGAACAGTTTTCGAGATATAACTAAATTTCAATTTTTTGAGATTCGACAAAAAGTGGATTCACTAATTTACCATTATTTCCGAATATAGTCGATCGATTTTAATTTTCTTTAAAGCGAATTAAAGGTAATTAAATTTCCAATAAAAAAGTATTTGCAACATTTTTTAATTGGACTGACGGTACAATTACTTATATCTTCTAAAATTTTGTTAAAAATTATGAGAAATTCCAAACAAATTCATAAATAGCTCCTAAACCGTCAATCCAATTAAAAAATGTTGCAAATATTTTTTATGTGAAATTTAATTACCTTTAATTTTCTTCAAAGAAAAATGAAATCAATTGACTACATTCAGAAATAATAGTAAATTACTAGCCCTAGGAACTTTGAAAATTTAAATAAATAAATAAATTAGTGTATCCACTTTTTGTCGAAACTCAAAAAATGAAATTTAGCTACATCTCGAAAATTGTTCTACTTTCTTAATATCTGACTTCATATTCGGATTCGGGAGCAAATTTTACATAAGAAATGATAGTGAAATGCCGCAGGTCAGAAATTTTTTTTAATTTTGTAAACTAGTGTTATGATTAAAATTTAATTTGAAATGTAAAATTATTTAATTTTATAAAAATTTAAAATTGGAGTTATTAATAAAATTGGAGTATAAGAAAAAACGTAAATACTTTTTGATGAAAATTAGAAAAAAAAATCAGGAAAATAAAATGCAGAATCAAATTTTTGTGATTTTTGTGAATCGCGTCTAAAACGAGTTTTTTCAGTCATCAAATTTAATGTTTAAACAGCTTCTTTTTTTGGTCTCAAAGCTAATTTTTTAAAAATTAATTATCAAGTGCGAAGCCTAATATTGAATTAGCAAATTATTTGGAATTCAAATCAGACGGAAAAGTGAACTAGAAGAAGAAAATATCAGAGTTGAGAAAATTTTTTTCGTTTTCGTAGACTATGCTGGAGGACAAGATCAAGGCGACCGATTGGGAGGCTACAAATGAGGCAATTGAAGAACAAGTTGCACGCGAAAGTTATTTGCAATGGTTACGCGATAATGAAATGAGAAAAGCAGTAAGTAATATATTTTGTTTAATTTCTCGAGAAAATGAACGAAAGAGAGAGAATGTTTTTTTGACATGTACATGTGCTATTTATTTTAAAGCGATCGGCTAGTAGTAGTAGCTCTAGTACGCTTACGGGTACTCAGCATAGCCATGCCCTCTTTCATTCCCATGGCAGCCGCGCTCAACAACGAAGTCATACTTCTTCTCCAACAGGAACTGCACCAACTGCAGATTCACTACGAAATTCCCCAAAGGTCTGTACAAAACAGACTCGTTTCCGTAAACAATTTCAAAAAAATACGGTTCTTTTTTGACTCAAAATAAATTCTCATTTTTATTTTCAGTTAAAATTTAATTTCTCATTTTCTTTAATTATTAAATTGAGAATAATGTTAAATTCTTTTATTTTTATTGATTTAATAGCTACATTTTAGATTTACTTTCGTCTTCAGTTTATTATTCTGATATTGTCATTTTTTTCACTTGTCATTTTTTTCAATTTTCCAATTTTTGTTTTATTACAGGTTGGTGATTCTGTACGTTATACCAAAAGATCTCCTCAACACCAATCACCGCCAAATGCAAGTAAACCTCTTCTTCCAACGGAATTTGACGTGAATCCTGCGCCTCAAGAACCCGTGCCTGGTAGCAGTAAAGAGTCGCAAGCCTCTCCCGATATTTCTGTTTTTAATCGACTGCCTCCTGAAGTTTTCGGTTAGTATTCATGTGAGATTCAATTTAATTTAACATTCTTTGAGTCAGAGATACGAATTATATTAAAATATAATGTATATAAAACTTTTTCAATTTACTCAAAAGTTTAGTTTTCAATTCAAAATTTAACTAAATTCAATTGAGAAAATAAAAGGGAATTAATTTTTTTTAATTAGTAAAATTTATAATAAATGTAAATTCATAATAGAAATATTTTAATATATCGACTATAATTTAATAAAAATAAATAGAAAGTAAATACAATATCAATTTAAAATAATAAAATTAAGAAAATTAAAAGCTTAAAATTGTTAAAATTAATAACTAATATAAATATTTAAATATATCAACTATACCTAATAAAAATAAAATTTCCTTTAATAATAATTGAAATTTTGTACAATTTAATTGAAAATAATTGATCTTTTTCAAGTACATTATTACAATTTTTGAAAATCAACTTTTGAAGAATTTCAATTGCAAATTTTGAAAATAATTGAATTTTTTGTATTCTAATTTTTTAAAATTTAATTATTTTTAATAGTTTTAATTACATATTTCCGAAAAAAGAAATATATATAAAACCTAATAACATGAAAATTTTTTAAAATTATTTTTAACATTTTGGAGAAAAAAATCATATTTAAAATTTTTAATTATACAAAAATTTGTTCAAGAAATTAAATTATCTTTGAACAAAGTAAATTCAAATTTTTTAAAACTTTCCTTTTTAAACTTATTAAAATTTTGGAGAAATAGTGTTTATATTTATACTTAATTAAAATTCTTCAAAAATTTTATTTTTTTTTTGTAATTTTCAAAAATACAATTGAGGGCTCGGATCGAAGAACCGACGCTTCGCAATGTTCTGTGCGTTTACAAGCGTCGGTTCTTCGATCCGAGCCCTCAATTATTTAAAAGATTTAATCAAATTCCAATTATTATTTTTAAAAGAGTTTACCAAATTTTAACTATTTAGATTTATATTTATATTTATTTATATTTATATTTATATTTAAATTTATTTATTTAATCAAATTCCAATTATTATTTTTAAAAGAGTTTACCAAATTTTAACTATTTAGAAATTTTTAATTAATTGTATAGGTATATAATTGAAGAACTATCTTTCAAAAATTATTCTAAAATATTAAAAAAAATAATTATAAGAATTTTAATTAATTTTAACAGTTTTATTCTAAAAAAATTAAATTTTTGTATTTAAGTAATTGAATTCTTGAAGAACTTTCGAAGAATTATTAAAAATAATTGATTTAGAGATGAAGTTTAGTCAAAACTTGTAGAAAATGTAGAAAATACAAATTTAATTGTATAAGGGTTATGATTATAATTTTTATAAATTTTTAAATTTCAGGTTTTAAATTGAAATTTTTTAAATTTTATTTCCCGTGGAAAAAGAAATAAGAAGTATTTAAATATTTTTTTAATAAAATTATTGAAGTTTTGAATAATTGAATTTAGAAATCAGTGAAAGGTCAAAGAAATACAAAATGGAATTTTTGTGACATCACTGAATTAAATAAACGAATTTTTCGACTTTTTTTAAATTCCTTAATCAATTAAAGCGATTTTTGCCCCTTAAAGTCGATCAGAGGCCTGCAAATCAAAAGAGTGAAATATTTATAGCAAGCTCTTTAAACAAAGTTGTCGATTAGTGGAATTGTCATTTAATATAATTTAATTAACATTTCTACATTTTCTCCATTCTTTAAACTAAAAAAATTGAAAGAAATGAAAGTTTAAAATTATTAAAATTTATAAACAATATAAATTCATATGAGATAAATATTTAAATATATCCAATATAATAAAAATAAATAAGAAATAAATACATAGTATCAAATCAAGTGACCGAGAAATTTATTGCCAGCTATAAATGAAATGACCATTTAGTAGAATTATCTTTAAACATTTTAAACTGAATATTTATTTAATATAGAATACTGATTCCAACAAATAAAAATGCAATAAAATATATTTATTATCAGTTATTATTATTCCAAAACATTATAATTATGTTAAACAGTTAGGAAAAACTGTATAAATTATTTTGTGCAACACCTGTAAGGAAAGTAATACTTTGCATGCCTGTAAAGTAGGCGCAAAACAGTACTTTGCTGCACTAGTGCGGCAAAGAGCTTACTTTGCTGCACTAGTGCGGCAAAGTGCTTGTTTTGCTGCACTAGTGCGGCAAAGTTCTTAAACTTTTGGGTTTTTTTGGTGATATACATAGGTATTTGTTTTCTATTTGTAGAATACCTGTTTTTTACAGTAATATACGCGTAGAAAACCACGTATATTACGTGCGGTAACATACGTTCCAAACCCTGCTAAACAGTACGTATGTTGGCGTCAACTAGCTTTTTTTAAACAGCTTTTTTTATCAAAACCAAAAGGTGTTGCACAAAGTACTGTGTGCAACACGTACGAAAGAAGATTTTCCGACTTCGTGCAAATTGCTGCCCTCGCTTCGCTCGGGACAGCAAACTTTGCACTCGTCGGAAAACAGCTTCTTTCTGTACTTGTTGCACAATATACTATATTATTTTCTTAAATTTTTCAAATAATCCAAATTTAAAATAGCTTTAAAGAAATGTAGTTTTTTTGGTGATTACTTTTTTTTCGAAAAAATTTTCTATTTAATACAGTTCTCAGAATTAAAAATTAAATGAAAAAATAAAATAATGAATTTTAATATTAAATCAATTTTTTAAGTCTTTTCCTGACTTGTGAGTCAGGGAAATCAGGGAATTCAGGGAAAAGTCAGGGATTTTTATTTAAGTAACTGGAAAAAATTGAATTTTGGAGAAGTTACAAATGAATTGCAAAAATTCAAATATTTTCAAAAGTAGGGGAACACAGTCGAGGTCGGCCCACTTTTTGACTTTTGTTTATAACTTTTTTTTAAAAATGAATTTGGACAATTAAAGTATATGGTTGGAAAGTCCTGTTTAATAGAAACATCTTTTCTATACAAAGTAAATTGATTGGTTTTAAAATGAAAAAGTTATAAAGATTTAAAAAAAAAAAATTTGTAGTCCAGGTTGGTTCTTACAGTCAAGGTCGGCCATGTTTAAAATTTAAAGGGCATTAATTGTTAAAAAATAAAATAACATGTTTGGAGTTACGGGAAATTGATTTTTTATTGTTTACAGCTTGTAACTTAATGAAATAACAAAATAATAAAAATAAACAATATAAAAAAATAATTATAATAAAAAAAAATTTTGCACTGAAATATTAATAAAATTAAACAAAAATATTAATAAGATTATCAATTATATTATAAGTTATTCAGAATTGCAGTTTTTGCAAATGAAGTAGCTCGTCCTCATCTTTGCGCATTTGAAACACAAAGTGGCCGACCTTGACAGAAAGTAACATTTCCGAATTGTTGTAACAATGAAGAAATACGTTTCGGGATTCGATTTTTCACTTTGATTTTCTTTCAACCATGAGTCCCACAAAATTTCTGCATGCTTGCCTTGACGATTTAATTTTTTTTCATCTTTTATTAATGGTTTTTCACATGATGCACAAAACTTTTTTTGAGCTTTTTTTGTACCGACGTCACAGAAAACACAATTTTCGATTCTCCGAAATAATGTAATTAAATAAAAAGTTAGGTTTTACTAAGACAAGCTTCGACAAGTATGCGCGTAGGTGGCGCTAGTAAACTTGACAAAAAAACAAAAAACCTAGACAGTGGTCCAACCTCGACTATACTCCCCTAATAAAATTCTTCACAAAAATTCAATTATGTTCAAAAATTAAAAAAAATTCTCGTCAAAATTCAATTATCTTTAAAAATAATAAAATTTTTCTCCAAATTTCAATTATTTTCAAAAATTTTAATAAAATTCTTTGCAAAATTTCAATTATTTTCAAAAAATTTTTCTCAATTCAATGATTTTCAATATCTACAGTTTTAATAAAATTTTTCAAAACAATTCAATTATTTCAAAAAAAATTTTGATAAAATTCTAATCAAACGTCGCAATAATTCAATTATTTTCATAAATAATAACATTTTTTACAAAAATTCAATTACTTTCATGAATAATAAAATTCATCATAGAATTTCAATTATTTTTAATACAATTTTAATTGAATTCCTTGAAAAATTTAATTATTCTTGAAAATTTTATTAAAATTTCTTAAAAAAATTCAAATTTGTTGATAAAATTCTTTATGATAATTTAGTTTCAAAAAACATTCATTTACTCAATAAATTATCAGGGTGGCCACATGTCAGTAAAGTCAAAATACATAATTAATAAAATACATAATTGAATTCTTTCGAAGAATTTTAACAAAATTTTTGAAAATAGTTACATTTTTCGAAGAATTTACTTAAAATTGTATTAAAAATAATTGAAATCCTGTGAAGAATTTTATTAATTTATAAAAGTAATTGAATTCTTGCAATGAATTTTTTCAAATTTTTTTTTAAATAATTGAAATAATGTAAAGAATTTATTAAAATAATTGAATTCCTGCATCGAATTTTATTACATTTTTTTAAATAATTAAATTCTTTTGAGAACTTTTATTAAAAAAGTAGATTGTGAAAATATTTGAATTTCAACGAAGAATTTCATTATATTCGTGAAATGTAATTAAATTCTTACAAAAAATTTAAGAGAATAATTTCATTTTTCTTGTAATTTACTTTAAATTGTATTATAAATAATTGAAATCCTCAGAGAAATTTTATATGTAATTTATGAAAATAATGGAATTCTTACAACGAATTTTATCAATTTTTTAAAAATAATTATATTCTTTTGAAAACTTGTATTAAAAATGTAAATTTTTGAATTTTAGCGAAGAATTTCATTATTTGTAAAATGTACCTAATTTAATTCTTGCAAAAAAATTTCGAAGATAATTTTATTTTTCGAGGAATTTATTTAGAATTGTATTAAAAATAATTGAAACCATATGAAGAATTTTATTATTTATGAAAATAATTGAATTCTTGCAACGAATTTTATTATAATTTTTGTAAATAATTTAATTTTTTTTTGAAAAATTTTATGGAAATTAAAATTTTTATAAAACATAAAGATATTCTTATAAGTTGTTTAATTTTAAAAATGTTTGAATTTGAATGTTTTGAAGAATTTTAATTCCTATGGAAAAATAATAATTAAATACTTATTTAAAGTTACTGATGTTTGCGAATAATTTTACAATTTAAAAAATTCGTAAGTAAATGTAATATGTAGAATGCTTTTTTGAGTATCTAATAATTTTTAGAGTGAATAATATTCTTTTTGGCCAGGGAAAAAGTGAAAATTTTGTCTGGAAATCAGGGAAAAGTCAGGGAAAAATAAAATTAAATATTTGTGGCAACCCTGTTATAATAATTTTCTCCAGTATTTGGAAATCTAAATGATTTCTCCAACAGGGAGGAAATACAATGATCAATAAGAATTTTATTTTATTTTAAATAAATACTAAACTAAATTTTATTTTTCTCGATTTGGACAGTTTTATATTTTTAATATTAATAAATTGGTGTTTTTTTTAAATTTTTAGGTCTAACTGACTGGGAGGATAGTGATATTATATCACAGGTGTTGGCTACTTCTCAAGAGGAATATCTAGACAGCTTAAAGCAATCTCGACTAACTAGTAGTGCTAGTTCTGAATCCAGTGAAAAATTAGATTCTAACAATAGTTAATTAGCAAGAAACAGTCATCATTTTTAACAAATTTTGGAGAGATAAAAGCAAAAGATATATAAACATATATATATATATATATATAAATTTATATACATGTATATATTTCAATATTGCAAAATATCCTCTAAAGTAAAAAAAAAAGAAAAATGTGAAGCAGAAGGTGGTTTGCCTTTTCTCATTTAAATAAAACTTAACGAGTTAACTCGGTACGTAATTTCACAAGCAGTGTGCGTATACATTAGTAAAATATGAAATATTGACCAAAATCCATATTTTCAAATTGTTTTTGTTTTTCTATTCTTTTATGAAATTATGATTTTTTTTATTTTCAAAGAAACAAAGAAAAAAAATATTTAAAAAAAAAACATAGAAAAGTAATTAAATACTTTTTCTTTATTTATATTGCAAGAGCTTGTAAGGCAAATGCATAATATATTATTTTACAATCGAATTTTGCAGTTCTGATTGCTGCTTTATAATATTGTAGAGTATTCAACCTTAGATAAATTATCGAAAGATTTTTTTTATTCATTCATTTTGCAAGAATAAATTTATTATCATTGTAAGCCAAATTAAGTAGCGATATCATTGCTCACTATTTATTCTACAAATTTCATTTTGTTCTTCTTTTATTTTTGGCTTATTATTAGTTTTCAAATTATAGAAAAATGGCTTCGGAAAAGAAAAAAAAAGATTCGTTGCATTATTTGTATTAAATGATTTAAATAAAAAATATATAAAAAATATATATAACTTAAATATATAAATTGAGTTTTATTTTATTGTTTAATACTTTCGTTAAAGGAGAATGGACTTTTGCAAGAGTGCAATAGGAAAATAAAAATGATTGTGGCAAGTGTTATACAATAATGATATTATAATTACCTAACAGGGAATATACCTAGTGTTTAATAAATTCAATTTCAATTTCTCTCGATATATCAAATTGGTTTGATATGTGTTTCAGTTGGAATAATTTTGGAAAAACTTGTTCTTCCTTTGTTTTTTAAGATTTGAATAATTTGAATTAATTATTTCAAAATATGCAGGAATTTTTTTAAAATGGACAAATATATTCGAGAGGCGTTCCTTAAGTCACCGGATACAGCTTTGCCTTAGTATAGATATATTAATAGAACCAAACCTACACTCGCTTCTACTTCTCTAGTGTCTTGAGATCTAAACTTTCAATACTCATCTGATTTAGTACAGTGCCGACAGACGGGAAATTTTTTTATTTTTTTCAAGTTCCAATATATAATTTGTGTATTGTGTTATGCGATTTTTTCAAAGTTATATTATTTTCTACATGATATATGTTCATTTCAAATAATTATCGGCTCTACCTGAAGTTTTGCAAACGCAATGTTTGCGCTTACGCTTATCACTGCAGGTGACTTTTTTATCACATGTACACTTCGAACTTAGGTCACTTTATGCCGCTGCTGCAGTTTTATTCTCTTTCCACAGAGAAACTTTTTAAAAGTACAAAAAGAATCGAAACTATACTAAAAAATGGATTACAAATCTAAGGTAAAATTAATTTCTTTTCAATAGTTTGAGAATTAATTATCAAAACTGGTTTTTTTTAATGAAACGTTTTTCACTAAAGTTGTTACTTTAATACTAATTTCGTTTTCAGTCAACATTTCGAAAAAGTTGTTTATACAGAAAAAAGTTATTTTCTCTGTTGGCACTCTTGACACTGACAACATTGTCAATTATAATTTTCTTTTTCTACATTTCGAAAATAGAATCGAAAATCAATTTCAATGATGATGTTATTCCAAGTGAAAAATATCAAAAAAGTAAATATAATTTAATTGTCTAAATTCAGTTTTAAGCAAAAAATAATTTCCTTGTTTTTAATTTTAGCATTTCCTGTTTCAGTACTAAGTAAATATTACAATTTTTCAAATGGTACGTTATTTTTTATTTCTTTATTCCCTCAGATAGAAGCAATTAAAAAGAATTTTCCAGATTTTATCTTCTTCTCGCTTTAGATTTACATAAATTTTAATAAAGAGAAATGTTCTTTTATAGACAATAAGTGGTACAACAGTGAAAATGTCTCGCAGAGAAATAAGGAACTCATCCGTGAAGTTAGAGAGAATTGGATAATTGAAAAACCCAAACACACTAATCAGAATTATTCGCTCAAATTTCCAGAGGTGAAAGACCCTTCAATGGGTCAGGCTGAAGTAATACGGGAAATTTTCAGTAATGCGGTAAATATTTCATCTAATCAAGTAAATTAATATTTAGAAAATTTTGCAAAAAAGTATGCAAGTTTTTTCAAACCGATAAAATTTTCATTAAACTGTCAAAAAAAATTTTTTTAAAGTACTTATTTTTGTTTGAAAATTTTTGTTTAGAAAAATTTAATTTAGATAAAAAATTTGGTTTTTATGAATAATTAAAATTTTTTAAATAATTAATTAATATCCTGTGAGATGCGCAGGAGCTTTTTAATTACATACGTAACAGCATCTAATTATATTGTATGATCATGCTCGTTTTGTTATTATTTACTTAATATTTGCAGCGCGCTAATTTAGTTATGAATATGTTCTTTTTTTTATTCCTTACAAAGGGTACAACTTTGTAAACCCGTTTATAATTTAAATAAATAAATATAGAAAAATCATTTGATAAATAATAAATAAATCAATTAGATTATTATTTTTAGAAAAATGGTTTTTTCATCGAATGCGGAGCATACGATGGCGAGACTCGTAGTAATACATTAAATCTTGAACGTTATTTTGGATGGACCGGAATTTTAATAGAGGCAGATCCAATAAATTTTGCAAAAATGACTTTAAAAAATCGAAACGCTTATTTATCGCCAACATGTCTCAGTATTACACGTTATCCAACAGTTGTAAGTTAAAAATATTAAAAAATTTTATTTATAATGCGAAATAAATTCATTAACTCTTGAATTAAATTAATTAACATCAATATTTTATTTTTAATTTTAGTCATCGTTTTTAATGGCGGATAATATTGGACGGCTTCATGAAATTGACGATAATCCAGAACTTACAAATAGTCCGGATATTGCTCATAAGGGAAAACACATTAATGTCCAATGTTTTCCATTGATCACTTATATTCTTGCACTAAATCGAACGAGCGTTGATTATTTTAGTCTCGACATTGAAGGCAATGAAATTCAAGTGCTTGAAACTATACCATTTCACTTGGTTGATATTAAAGTAAGATTAAAATTATTATTAATCAAAGCTAGTTGAAATTATTTTTCTTGTGTAATTAAAAAACAACTTTTAATAAATTGTAAAATTTATTTTTGTTTTTGTAATTTTTTTAAATTTAATTTATTTAACTAATAATGTCAACATTTAATTTTAATTCTAAATAAAATTTAATTTTAAAAGTACCTATTTTAATATTAATTCAAATTCTAATTTTAAATTTAATTCTTTTTTGTTTTGCTTCCTCATAAAGGAAGCCTTATAGTGATGCCGATTTCCGAATTTTTTAGAACCAATTATTTTTACAAATTTTCAAGTGTAGTATATATAATTCGTCGAGAGGAACAAATGTCCGGATGTATGTGTGTATGTATGTATATGTGTGTGTGTGTGTGTGTGTGTGTGTGTGTGTGTGTGTGTGTGTGTGTGTGTATGTCACCGATTCTTGTGGACAAATTTTCTCTTACACGTCTTGACGGATTTTGATAAAATTTTGTAGGTGTATTACTACGGTCACGAATACCAAAAATCAGACAAAAGGATTTTCAAAAATATCTAAAAAAAAAAATTTTTTCAACAATTTTTTAATTTTTGGATTTTTTGAAATAACTTTTTTCTATATTAAAATTTTTATTAATTCTTGTCAAAATTGCATTCCTGACATAAAAACGAATCGATTCATGTATATAAAGTATATATTTTATCAAAATTTATAGAATTAATAAATGTTTTAAATTTTCACAAAAAATTGAAATTTTGTATTTTTTGACATTTTATCTTAACACTTTAAAATAATTATTCTAAAATAAAAAATTAAACAATTGGTATATATTATATTGAGGAAGCTTAATGATCATGAAATGAACAACTTGTTTACATTATTTTCACTTATATTTGATCTGAACAAACTTAATAAAGTTAAAATTAATTATTACACTTAATTATTATTAGTGAAACAAATTATAAACTTAATAATTGAAATAAATAAGTAACAAATAAAATAAATAAATTTTAAATCTTTTTTTGCAAATGTATTAAAATTATTATACATTTCTTTTCCAGACACTGTCTGTGGAATATATTCACAACACAGAAAGTAAAAAATATATGATTGATCTGATGAAGGGAAACGGTTATTACGTCTACAGTTATGTCGAACACGATAACAATCTAGCAAACGACATTATTTTTGTTAAAGAAACTTTCATACCCTCAGCAAAGAAAAAATCCAATTTCCTCCTGAATATGTTGTAAAAATTGTGAAATAGTATTTTCTTTTTCTTATAAATTATTCACAATTTTACAAGAAAAAAAAATTAACTGTGATTTCTATTAAAATGAAAATCTATGTAAGAAATAATAAGACAAACGAAAATATTCTGACAAAGGAAATTTTTAATATTTTCCATTGCACAGATTCTTGTTTAATTTTTAATAAATTTTTAAATATAGATTTTCAAATTTTTATTTTTACTTTAATTTAATTTTAATAATAATACCTAATATTTAAAATATTTATATAAATTATAAACAATCGTTATTAATAGATTTTGTAAATAATCATGCCAGTATCGCAATTTAGGGTATAAATGTAAAATTAAGAAAAAGAACAATTTTTTTAATACGAAAATGTTTTTAATAATAAAAAACAATTTTTCAAATTTAACTGAATTTTTTATTTTAACTAATTAAACAGTTTATTCATACATTATAGAAAATATTTACAGTTGAAGTCACATATTTCTAAATGATTTGTAATAAAATACATTATGCCTACATTTGAGAAGCTTATTTGACAAATTTGCATTTCAAAATGTTGGATTATTGCAGTTATTTTTTTTTCTTTTGAAAGAACAAATTAATTTGAAAATAATATTTATTTTAAAGAAAATAAGTATTTTTAAATTAAGTTATTATTTAATTATCAAAAACTTAAAAAACAATTTTATCATCTTTTCCTTTGTAAATAAGCTTAACAAATGTTTTCGTAACAAGTTTAATTATTATCTATGTACAGATTGAATAAATAATATACATTTTGGCGATTAATTAGGAACTCAAGTTATGTGCACTTGGCACGAAATTAAAAATTCAAATATTTAAAGAAGAATTTAGATTTTTTTTTACAGAAAAACCAATTGATCCTATTCAAGCCATTTGGCCATTTTAGAATCATAATTGAACCCAGTTCATTTAATTGGTTTTAATTATGTTTCTGAAATGGATTAAAATCAGTTCGAGACACGGTACCGCAATGGAATGATCTCATTGTTCAATAATGTTAACTTTGAAATAACTTTATTGCTTTATAAATTAATGAGCAATACATTCTCTTTGTCATTCATTAAAATTCATACTTTTTCATTTTTTCTCTTTTTTATATACTATAAACTATAAAATATAATTTACATTCGCTAATAAATAATGATATATTTAACTATTTTTGTAATAGTAAGTAATGAATTTTAATTATTTCGTATTAATTTTTTTTTACAACGCTCTGAACTTTTTTTTAATACTCTCTATAAGTAAATTTTTTCGTTTTAATCTTAATTAGCAAACAATTTCTGTAATTTTCTGTTTTTGTTTCCTGTTTTGTAATTTTCTATCGAAATTTTGTAAATTACTAATTTAAATAATGAACAACCTTTTGCTAATTAAAATTCAAAGAGTTGTATTTTACCATTTTTTCTTTCAATAATCTTTAATTACACATTCTGTGGTATCCTAAAAATTTTACATTTTACAAATATTGATCTTTTTTCACTAATCACAAAAAAGTCGCAAAATTTTTTCTCAGTTAACTCATTCACTCCCAAAACTGAATTTTTATTTTCGGAACTTTTCAATCAACTGTAATAACAAATGTTAACAGAAGAATCTGTACAAACTTCTTAAATTAGATTAAAAAAAAATAAAGAAAAAAAATTTGAATATTTTTAGGTACATGACACTGACTAGAGGATGAGTAAAAATTATACTACACATTTTGATTTTGCGTTAAAAAATCTTTTACTGCTGGACTCTATTTTGGTTCTTTTTTTTAAATAGATTATAGTAATATTTATATAATGCTAGTCTCTTTGATAAACTGTAAAAAAAATTTTACAGTTTTTTTTTATAGAATACATTTTATAATCTATGCTTTGTCTTTTAAAATAGCACCCTTTTTTCATTACAATATAAGAGGTATATTTAAAAGGAGGAGAAATGAAAAGAATTTTTCTAGTAATGAAAATTTATGTGTGACCCTCCTAAAAAATGCAAATTATCGATATCACAAAATTTTGTAAGGCTTTTGTTAATTTACATGAAAAAATATAAATAGTAAAAGAATAAAAGTACTATTATAATCCGTTTAATAAATATATATTTTATATTATTTATATCAGCCCTCACTATTATTATAATTCGGACCTTTGATAATACTTTTAATTCATTTTTATATAAAAATGGTAACAAATCCTTTCATTAAAAATTATAATATATTGTCGTAATATCTTTTTTTGTTTCATTTACAACAGTTCAATTAGAAATTTATGAAAGGATTTAAAATAAAGCTCAGCATCTAATTCAATATTCATCTAGAATTTTATATCGGCTCGAAGATATAATCATATTTATTATATTACTATACGTATACGGTTTTGATATATTTATACAATAATTCGCTAGTTTTTGTCATTTTCACTAAACCACCAACTGAGGTAAATAAGAAACAATAGAGGTAAATTTTAATGCAAGTATTTTTTTTAACAGAATTGTTTTTTAAATTTTATAATTTTATATTTTGTCTTTAGAATGATAGAAATATTATTTTTATTGTCATGGACAAGGAGAAATAAATTACCAAACATCATTGAAGTGCAGTTAAAAATAATAAATAATCTTGAAATATCTCAGCACAAAAAAAGGTGAAAGTATAATAATAATTACCACAAATATAAGAAAATTATAAGAAAAATTAAAGTAGTTATGGTAAAATAAAAATAAAACAAATATAATCTAAAAAAACAAAATAATAAATAAGAAAAATTATTTACACTAAAAAAAAAATTTTTTTTGAGTCAATTAAATGGTATTTGAACCAATAATTTCAGTATTAGAAGCAAATACCATTTAATTGATTTAAATAAAAATCATTTGATTTAACTAAATTTAATTCATAATAATCAAGTAATCGGTTATTTCAATAAAATAAAATTTTTTTTCAGTGTACATAAAAATAGCAAATAAATAAAAATAAGTACCTAAACTTAGATGAAACTTTTATGAGACTATTGATAATGTACCAAAATAAAAAAATAATTTAATGTACAAAAATAAATTATACTGCAATTTGTAATTTTTGTACAATAAAATGTTAATTGTATTTTCGAATTTTCGGAAACTTATTGCTGCGCAATTTTTTCATTCTAAAATTACCTCAGTTGACGGTATTATACAATTCGATTTAAAAAAATAAAAACGAGACTGTCATCAATCTTGTTCCATTTCAATCAGATAAATTTTGAGCTTTTTTCAATTAAGGGGATTTTCCCTAAAACATTTTTTTTTAATCTAAAGTGTGCAGGATTTTTAACTCACTCTTTAATTTAATAAATATTATAAAATGATGAAATTTATTTTATAATATAAGAATTATTTAATTTAATACTAATAATATTAATAGTATTAATAATAATTTTTATTGAACATCAATAAAAAAATGTATGTCTTTATTTATCGAAATATTTACAAAAATAAACATATTTCGATTCTAATTAAAATTTTATTAAAAAATATGGTAAAAATTCTGGTAATTTTGTTAATATCTTACTAACTTGACAAATATTGAAAAAAGACAAATGTAATAAAGTAGAATATTTCATTATTATTAGGGGAGAGTGGGGCAAACCGGACCCCCTAACGGTTTTTTGACTCTTGTGACTAAACGAATCAACCGATTTCATTTTTCGATGGCTTGTTTGAAAGATCATTTAATTGCGCAACTTTTTCCCAGAAACACCTATACTTTATCTTTTATTGTTTAGTTGCTGTGTTAACTTTAACAAATTTTGCAAAAGGTTCGGTTTGCCCCACCCCCTGGGGTAAACCAGACCGTTAGGTTTTTTATTTATAATATTGCATTTACATAATCTACAATAATAAAAAACATTAAGAATCATGTAAACAATGGTTGTAGTAATGAAAATAATAGTACGGGATTGAATTTTAATTAAATAAATATTTTTTTTAATAAAAAAATAAAAATGTTTGTCATTATCAGAGAAACAATATTAAAGGGTCCAATTCTCATTGGAAGACAATTATTTTTCATTGTAAGTAAATATTTTAATGAAAGAAACATTTTATTTAAAAATAATTTTTATGAAACTTTAATTCAATGGAAATATCCTATGGCCGGTTTGCCCCACCGAAAACGGTCCGGTTTGCCCCACAGGCCCATTTTGAGAATAGATGTTTCTCAAAAAGAAACGCTTTGCAAATTCATCAACGTTTTTGGTGGTAAATATTCCTGAGGTGTGTACCTTCAAAACCTAAGACCTAATATTTGGAAACATTACACGATTTCCTCAGAATTTCCTTAAGAAAAAATTCGTAAAAGTGTCCAAAAAAACTAAAAAAAAAACTTTTGCTCCCTTCGTCGCACAAACGCAAGCTAAAAATAAGATATACTAAACATGGTTGTTTTAAATTTGTAAACAACACTTTTGACAATTTCGCCATTTCGGAAATATTGAGAGGGGTCCGGTTTACCCACCGGTCCGGTTTGCCCCACTCTCCCCTAATAATTAGAAAAATTAAATGAAGAATATTGATATAATAATGTAAATAGTTTAAAAAATCGAATTAAAAATCAAGTACGATGAAGAATCTCAAAATAATTTAATTTAATTTATTTGCCAACAATAACATTTATTAGTGGAATATTATATTGTTTGATAAAAATCCATAATTTTAATTATTTAAAATATTTTATTTATTTACAAAGTTTTGTGTTTTTTTAAAAAAGCTTTTTAGAGATGTAAAAGAGAAAAAGTTTTTAATTAGAAATTACATGTATTTCAGTTTTGAAGAATATCTGCTAAAGATGCCTGTCGTCGACGGGCGAAAGCTCATAAATAAAATATTTTAAATAATTAAGATTATGGATTTTTATCAAACAATATAATATCGCACTAAAAATTATAAATCCAAACAAAATAACAGCACTATAATAACATTTATTGTTGTGCAAATAAGAAAACTTTTTAATTCAAACAAAAACTCTAATATTAGAATAAAATATTTTACAAAGAAAAAATAAAGTCGGAATTCTTTCCTTCTGAATAAAAAATTTATACCTAAGACATTCCACGTAATAATTTCATTCGAGAAAATTTTTATTTTGAATAAATTATTACAAATACTATTTCGAACGAATAAGGAAATGTTTCATACGATAAAATTTAGTAAAAGAAAATAAAAATTTTCACATCAGTGGCATATCGTTGCCTTTATGTTTCTACATCAAAATGTATTGGATACTGTTGACGAAAGTTGTGTCAAACAAGTATTACCGTGTAACCGTTCATTACAAATTGAAAATAGTGCCTATCAACAGTGAGGTAAGTGTCGAATCGTTCCATACAAGTATTACCGTCTAACAGTTTATTAGAAAATGAAAATAGTGCCTGTCAATAATTAGGGAAGTGTCAAATCCTTCCCAACAAGTATTACCGTCTAACTGTTCATTAGAAAATGAAAAAAGTGCCTAATAACAATTAGAGAAGTGTCGAGTCGTCCTATGCAAGTATTACCGACTAACAGTTTATCAGAAATTGAAAATAGTGCCTATCAACAGTGAGGTAAGTGTCGAGTCGTTCCATACAAGTATTACCGACTAACAGTTTATTAGAAAATGAAAGTAGTGCCTATCAATAATTAGGGAAGTGTCAAATCCTTCCCAACAAGTATTACCGTCTAATTGTTCATTAGAAAATGAAAAAAGTGCCTATTAACAGTGAGGGAAGTGTCGAGTCCTTCCATACAAGCATTACCGTCTAACCGTTCATTACAAATTGAAGATAGTACCGTCTAACCGTTCATTACAAATTGAAAATAATCACGTTCAAAAAACGAGTGTAGTCTGATTTCTAAATACAGTGTAGATACAATATTAAAGTCCTTCTTGGTGTAGAAACATTGGCAAAGAGATATAAAAAATGTACATTTACATATATCAATTTTAAAAAATGTATAAAAATAAATTTTATTTTCCAAAGTATCATTTGAGGTTAACCTGAAAAAATCTTATTTGAGTGTCATTAAAAATATGAAATATTTGGGATTGAATACGACAAATTTAAATCCACGTAAATTCTCTATTTTTATATTTTTAAATCAAAAAATGATTTATAATTAACAATCGTTTCGGGAAAAATGTGAGCAATTTTAATTTTCTCACTTGCAATCATTAAAAGTTGACTTTGGATAAACATTAATTTCTGAGATTAAGAATCGATTTCAGTAACATAACGGACAAATTTTATCGTTTCTTAATCTTCATTCAATGTCAACTTTTAATGATTCAAAATGAAAAAAAAAGAGCTCCCATTTTTTCTGAAAATGTTTTTTAATTATAACTTTTTTTTAATTACAAATCTCTCCAATTACTGATGAAATTTAGATTCAATTTTTTTCTCTCCTTTTGTTAATGGTCTCTCAGTTTTTATTTTTATTATTTTTCTTTTATATTATTTACATTTTAATTTATGTTAGGTATTTACTATTTTTATTATTTCTTGTGATTTTAATATTTATTTATTTAAAAAATTTCAATAAAAACCTAAATTTGCTTCTCAAAGGGCATTTTATATCTATATTTCACATTTAAAAATAATAATTGTTAACCAAATTTTTTGTTAATTGAAAAAATTTTATTTCTCTATCACGTAAATAAAAAGACATTTCCTTATTCTTTATTAATAAGAATTAGAATTTTATAAGAATAAATGGGTAGAGAAATAATTTGTCAAAATTTACTAAATTCTTTGTACTTTTTTTAAAATTCCCTTTATGTGATTGGCAGAGCCGTTTTCAAAAATGTTCATATTTTCATTATAATTTATTAAACAGAATTAAATTTTTTTACATTTCAAAAATTATAATTTATATAAATACAAATTAAGAAGATCAATTCAAGTTTTAAAAAATATGAATCTAAACTTTTTGTAGTTTTTATGAATTTATGTAAATTTATACTACATTTTTATAAATATTTTTACTAAATAATATAAATTATTAAAATAAAAAAATTAATGCCACATCAAAATACAAATTTTTTGTAATAATTTTAGAAATTTGATATTTTTCAGTACTTTTGATAAGATTCCCTGACATTTCTCTAACCAATTTCACATTTTTTTGGGACTATTTACCATTGTAAATTAGTGACTCAGTTTTTGCAAAATTAAGTTAAAAATTATTTTTAAAATTACGTTGCCATTTAGAAATTTTTACGAAACTGTTCTGCAAATCACGTACGATTCCAAACTTTGTAAAAAGTGTGTCTAGGTATGAGACGGGTTTTTTTTACCCATAAATTGTAAATGGGTAAACGAAATTGTAAATAAAATATACCGTTCAAAAAGTAACTTAAATACGCAACTTTTATTCAAAGAAAGTATAGTGTTTAGATGGACTCAAAAAAAGTTATGATCGCTTTTGTCAAAAAAAAAAAAAAAAAAATATGTCCAGTTGTGAGACACTTATTAAAAATTGCTAAAAATTGAATAAAGTTCTCTCTAATCCTATACTCAGAAATATAAAATAACGGAACAAAACCAACAACAGACTTTTAGTCTCATACATAACTCTCCTGCTTTTTGCCAATAATACTTCCGGTAACAGCCGACAAAAGCGGTAGTTTTATTTGCTTATCGGACGCAACATCCGGAACCTTAACGCTACAACTTTTATTACTGCTATGCCTCCTCCAGTAATCAGATTGATTGGTACTGCTGCCAGTTGTTGAGCCAGTGGTTCCCGTGCGACCCGAACTCTCCTTTTTTCTTTTCACTTTTGTCTTTGATATTCCACAGAGCCTAAGGAAGCCTTCTCTGAATTTCGTTGACATTAGATTGTAGAGAATCGGATTGATCGCCGAATTAAGGTAAAGCATTACTCGACAAAAATAGATGAGACAATAGTAGCCCTCGAGGCCAAGGGTCACTATTGTCTCAGGCGGGGCAACAATTATCCAAAATGTCAATGCCCTAAATGGAAGTAGACAAATGAAGAAGCAAAGAACCACTGTGCCGAGCATTAGGACCACTTGTTTACGATACTTGAGTAGATTATTGGCTGGTCCTCGACTTATTGCCGGATTCTCCATTAGATGTCGTGCTATCACTGTATAGAGGACAAGAAGGATTAGGAAAGGAATGATAAAGAAGACAATTATTATTATCAGAAAGAACATTTCTGTCAATGTTGAATCGGCTGGGGTTGAACATGTTGGAAATAGAGTGCCGTTCTGGTCCTTCTCCAATTTGTAATGCGTCATCAACAGGATCGGACTGCGAACAAAATTTAATCACATTTCTAATTCGATTCTTATTCATAGGAAGAGAGACGACGATTTTTTTTCAAATTTCCAAATTTCCAAATTAAATTCTACAGGAAAGAAATCAGATAGCACTGTTTTTTTTACAAAAAAGTTATTTTAAGGTATAGAGTATATCAAGTGGACACCCTTTTTTTATTACTCAGGGTTGCCACAGGTCACGGAATTTAGGGAAAAGTCAGGAAAAGTAGAATTGGTCAGAGAATAAATTTTATGAACTTCAAAAGGTTTCAATTAGAAATTATATAAAATTTGAATTTTAAAAATAATAAAATTCTCCTCTGAAATTCAATTATTTTCAAAAGTTTTAATAAAATTATTGTCAAAATTTCAATTTTTTTCAAAAATAATAGAATTCATGTCAGAATTTTGAATTATTTTTAATACAATTTTAATCAAATTCATCGAAAAATAGAATTATTTTTAAAATTTTTATTAAAATTTGTCGAAAGAATTTAATTATTTAAAGATTTGTTGATAAAATTATTTATGACAATTTAATTTTAAGAAACATTTAATTATTCAACAAATTATTTATTTTTGTATTTAAATAATTGAATTCTCGCAGAATTTTCTAATAAAAATTGATTTAAAAATATGAATTACAGTTAAAATTTTAGATTCAATAATTTAATATTTAAAGCATTATTTATCATAAATTATTGAAAATAATTGAATTTAAAAAAGGTTTCAAATTAAAACTTTTGAAAATTATCAAAAATAATTTTTTTAAAGAAGAGATTTAAATTTAAATTTTAGTTATAGAAATTCTAGAAAATAATAATTTAATTAAAATGATGAAAAAAATAATTTTGACGAAGTTACAGTAACAGTATTTTTATAATATAAAATAATAATTTTATCACTCGGTCTTCTTTAATTTAATGATAATTTTTTGACAATTTTAATAGATTTAGGTATTAAGTGTTTTTCAAAGAAAATCAATTGTATTTATTTATTTACTATTTACTAAATTGATAATAAAAAAATAGATATAATTTAAAATTTGATGACATCAGAAAATTTCAATACAAACTTTATTAAAAAATCAAATAATATTCAACCGAAAAATAAATTCTGTTTTAGGTTTAATTTTTAAAAAATTCTAATAGATTTAGTGGTTTAGAGGAATAAACGGTACTATCATCTGGAAAAGGATCTTTTACTATTTATAAAGTAAAACCTAAATTTGTAGAATTTCTACACATTTCTAGCAACTTTTACCATTTTACTTTTGGAGTGCAAAAATATCCTATAAAAATTATTAATTAGATTTTTTTCTAATCTAAATTGACTAATCACAATTATTGACCTTATTTCAAATTAATACATTGATAAAAATTTATTTGATTCAAACAAATGATTGCTTGTCTATTATCAAAAAAATATTTATTTTTTATCAAATAATTTTTATTAAAGTCGATTAAATGTTATCTGCTTCTAATACTAAAATAATAATTGATTCAAATACAATTTATTCAATGATGGAAAATTCTACAGAATTAAATACTCTTTTCCTTTTTAAGTTTGAATAAATATTCTTAAATTTCTCTTTCAGTTCGAAATTTGGATAAAAAATCATTTGGACAACAACTACAACGAGAACAAATCAGTCAAATCGGCCTTAAATCAATTTCCACCTATCGAATTTATTTTTACGAATTAGGAAAGCAAACTTAACTGTATGGCATGAAATAGTAATCTATATTACTCCACTAATACACTAATAAAATGAAAATTATAATTAAAAATCTATACTAACTATTAAAAATGTCTAGGTACTAATTAGAATAAGTGGACAACTTTTCAATATAATTCAAATTTAGAGAGTGCGATATCCAACAATAAATTTAGTAAAGAAATGATTTTTTTTTGCGTCATGCAATAATTGTTTCATTAATATTTTATGCAATAGAAAACTAATGTGCGTAATCAACATCATCATTGCATATTGACAAAGCTTTCTGTATTATTAGTATTAGTGCATGCTTGCAATGTGATTTCGAATTACGTATATGGTTTCGCAAAATATGATAAATATTTAAAATGTTAATAGAGTTATGTGAACAATATGATTATATGATACAATAAACTCAATATAGTATGTACACATATATAAAAATGTGGCAATTGTTCACATATAACACTGATATGAAATGAGGCTAAGAACATTAAATAAAAAAACATGCACATAAAACGTCACTTACGCGCAGTATAATTGTTATGAAACGAAAAACTGTTGGGAAAAAGGGCTAATAAATAATAATATTACAATAGAGGGGTTGGGTGCAAGAAGGGCGTTAGGAAAATAAATTGGTTTTGAAAAGCATTATTATTTATTAGTTAATTGCAAGTTTCCCTTAATTTTACACTTGAATTTGATAGTTCAATAGTGGACTAATTAATTAAAAAAAAGTATATCTAACTTGCATGTACAGTTTTTGAGCTATTAAAGTATAAAAACTTAAATTTTGTGGTGATCCGCCCTTCTTGCACCCAACGCTTCAATAGTGTCAAAATTAAACAGTGATCACAGTTAGTGTTCTTTCATGGAACTTTAATTATCTTTTAAAAATTTGTCCACCATATTGGATCCGCCATTTTGAATTTTTGAAATTTTGCTACAGCTTGGTAATAAGTGAACTCGATAATCCCCGAGTAACAAGTTTTAAATAAAATATTTGATAATTTAAAACAGTTCTTCTTTACAACTTTTTTTTGACCTGGTGCAATTAAAAACTTTAAAATATTCTTTATACGTATTATAATACAATAATTTTCTACTTAATTTGAAAAATTTCCCCTTTTTCAATTGAATACCCTTTTTAAAAACTAAAATTCCCTTTTTTACATAAATGTTATGTTCATGAAAAAATCACTGTGATCCCTGATTAAAGCAATGTTAGAAATAGAGCCAGTTTCACCAACTTCCGATTAAAAGTTAATCAATGATTAAAGACAGTTTAAAGGCTTCTGATTGGTTAATTGAGGATTTAATCATTGATTAACTTTTAATCGGTGTTGGTGAAATCGGCCCATAATGTTGCAATTTTAGGGAAGGAAAAATTGTAATTTAAAAAAAATGAAATTAAGAAAATGTAAATAATTTTCTTCAGTTTTTTTAATACTTACATTAGATTTATTAACGTGAACACTTTTTGACTTATGTTTATAATTGTTTTTATTTGGTCTGTTCTATTTTTGAACCTATCTAATTTATTACTATATTATGACTAAAATACAATTTTATAATTATACGGAATTATTAAATTCAACTTCTATATTATAATTATATCCAAACAGCACAAAATATTGCATTGTCATAAAATTACGCGTGAATGTTACAAATATTTCTTGGCAATATTTAAATTACTCTCTAAATGTGAATTAGTAAAAATATTTACTAATTTGAATGATTTTTAGCTTTTGAATTTGTAAATTTTAACAGGGTTGCCACAAAAAATTGAGTTTCTTTTTCCCTGACTTTTCCCTGATTTCCAGACAAAATTTTGACTTTTTCCCTGATCCAAAAGAATATTCTGATTCTCAAATTTATACCTTTTGAAATTCAATAACTTTTAAGAATATTATTATAAAACATGAAGATATCGAGCACTCCAAGTCGAAGACTCGGAGTGATCGATATCTACATTTTATAATAATTTAAATTTGTATAAAATTTTTCAAAAAAAAAAAAAAATTATTTACAAAAATTTTTCAAAAATCCTTCACAAGAATTTAATTATTTTTATAAGTACCTAATACAATTTTTCACATCAATTCAATTATTTAGAAAAATATAATAAAATTCGTTGTAAGAATTCAATTATTATCATAAATAATAAAATTTTTCCTATGATTTAAATTTTTTGTAATACAATAAAATTTTATATGAATTCCTCGAAAAATGTAATTATTTTCAAAGATTTTTTGCAAGAATTCAATTACATTCCACAAATAATGAAATTCTTCGCTGAAATTCAAATATTTTCAAAATCTACTATTTTAATAAAATTTCTCAAAAGAATTCAATTATTTTCATAGATAATAAAATTCTTCACAGGATTTCAACTATTTAAAAGAAATGTAATAAATACATATCGTTGCAAGAATTCAATTATTTTCCTAAATAATAAAATTCTTCACAGAATTTCAATTATTTAAAAGAAATGTAATAAAATTCTTTGTAAGAATTCAATTGTTTTCTTAAATACTAAAATTCTTTTCAGGATTTTAATTATTTTTAATACAATTTTAAGTAAATTCTTCGAAAAATGTAATTAATTTAAAAAATTTTATTAAAATTCTTCGAAGGAAATAAATGAACAATTGTCAAATATTTTAGATATTTTTTATCTCAAATTCATTTTTAAAAGAATTTTTATTAGAAAATTCTATGAGAATTCAATTATTCAAATATAAAAATGAAAAAATGATTGAATAAATGAATTTTTTTCAAAATTGAGGCCTTGGATCCAATAACTCGCCCGACGCTCGGAGGAACGCGCAACTGCCAGTCAGTGACCAGTGAGCGCCTCTGGACCACTCACTGCTACCCGACTGTTATTAGCGCGTGCCTTCGAGCGTCGGGCGAGTTATTGGATCCAAGGCCTCAATTGAATTCTCATAAAGAATTTTATCAACAAATTTTTAAATAATTGAATTTTAATAAAATTTTCAAGAAGAAAATTACATTTTTTGAGGAATTCGGTTAAAATTGTACTAAAAATAATTGAAATTATATGATGAGTTTTATTATTCATGAGAATAATTGAATATTTGTAAAAAATTTTATTAATTTTGAAAATAATTGAATTATTGCGAAAAAAATTGTAAAAAATTTGTAAATAGTTAAATTCCTGTGAAATGTTTATTATTTATAAAAATAATTTAATTTTTTCCAGTAATTTAATAAAAATCCCTGACTTTTCTCTGATTTCCCTGACCTGTGGC